TTAGAGCGCGGGGGGTTCAAAAACCGCCAATCACCAATGGATTTTTATCTTAAACCACAACCCCTAGGTCTAGCCTAAAGTAATGTGAAAAACAATCCCAGTCTCCTGCCTAGCATCTTAGAGGGGGGGATGTCTATCAAATGCCATTCAAACTGTCTTTCCAATCTGTCCCTTTCATTAGAGGGGTTTATTACTACTAATCACTATAAAGGTATAGGTGTTGATCGCCTTGTCATTTCAACCCATAACTGTATCATTTATGTCCATTGCCATAAAATACAGTTATTGCTTCAACCTTGTGTCATTGTTTATTACTTGGTCCAAATGATATGGTATAAATGGAAGTAAAACATAAGCAAGAGCAAATGACAAATTAAATTCACAAAGTAAATTCTTGCATTCTTGTCTTTTCATTTAATTTGAATTAAAAATATTCTTGAGGTCTAAAGCAACCCACAAAATTTATGAATTTCTTAACGTGAACCCAAAATGTAGAGTTATTTCTCAAAACGTACAGCATCTCAACAGTGATTAGTAATCGAATCACTACTTATGTAGAAAGGTATATTTACAGAGACCAGTTACTTTAGTCCAGGTTTAGATAATTTCTCTAATGTAGTTGTACTAGTACGCTAAACCCCTAGCTGCAGAACCTTTTTTTTTATTTATATAAATTTTAAAGTTCTTTTTTGCTATGGGACAACTAATTTGTAAATCAGTCCAATTAATTTTTTTTTAATAGAAGTTACACATTTGTTATAAACAATGGACATATTTCTTTTTATTATTTTCTTTAAGAAATACAACGTTAGCGTCATGTTTGTATAGATCTCTTGTTTATTTGTCTTCAACAATTAATTAATATTAATATGGCTTAATATGGACAGTAATACATTTTGAAGCTAACAAAAACAATTTAAAATCACCACCCATTTAGCCAACGAGATTATTTTAGATAACATTATAACTTAACTAATTATTTAGTGTGATAAAATCGTCACCTGTTCAGTGTTTTGATTTGATTCTATATCACAACATAACCTATTTAATACTTTGCCCATCCATAGAATTATTTACACGAGAGGTCGTCCAGTGGTCGAAACTCGACCAAAAATACGTAATGTACTCACTTATCTATTTTCACCCCACACTGTAAATAAAACATGTGATTTGAGTTTCTTCCATTTGTTTTGGTTTTCTGTTTATATTTCGTTGTTATTTTCGTTACCAGCATGGCAACGCATAAGATCCATGTTAATATTTTCAAATTTTTAAACTCATTTTTTGTGCTTATCTTTGAGCCTATTTAAATTTATAAAGGGATTCTGCACACCTACAGGAAAATAGTTTTCTAACGGTATGCGTAGATTTTCCCTACGATGAACACGAGCTGAGAAAAAAGGTTTTAAAGAAACATGCTTGCCTATTAATATATAGATAGATTCTATTTGTTATTAATTATCATCTTTACAATAATCTACGTATTAAATCAGTTAAGTAGGTAATGGATTGTTTATTACAAAATTAACATATAACGAGGAACATACCGGTGTATGCGGCGAGCTGAGCTACTAACACACAGATCAGATGTGACACTCGCATGGCACTGTTCACTTGTCCATCTAGCACTAGACTGAATCCTTCCTTTCACACACACCTCCAGGCTTCTCCCACTATTTCTCTCCTGGTCCTCCCGTCTCCAGGATCCCACCACACAGGGTTCGTTATGTTTGGTGTCAAGATCAATTGGCCGTTGATGAATACACCGTGTATTTGACGCTGAGTGTTAATTAACAATCTGATATATCTGGGATTTTAATGATGTAGATATTCTATAGAAGGGGATGTAAACGCTGAGATATCTGTTGCAAAAAGTGTTTTAACTGTATGTGAATGTCTCAAAGTAAAACTGTCAAAGATAGTTATTTCTCTTTGTTTTGATTTAACAAACGATCATTATAAATAATAATATTATCTAGCTGCTATCTTTCATTTCACAAAAAAACAATTGTTTACAGTTATTCAGAGTTCATTCGAACATTGTTAAGGTTTTTTATTTATACATAGTTTAATTAGCTGTAACCCGCGAGCTTTGCCCATTTAACTTCTTCATTTTCAAGATGATCTCGTTCGCATCACGTCCTGGTTGAAGTTCGTTCGCTACGCTCACTCACCTTTGGGTTGGAGCTCGTTCGCTACGCTCACTCACCATTAGGTTGGAGCTCGTTCGCTGCGCTCACTTGCCTTCAGGTTGAAGTTCGTTCGCTACGCTCACTCACCTTTTGGTTGCAAATTAGCTGTTGTCATAAATGTAAAAGAAATAATAGTGCTGTAACCTGTTGGTAATCCTTGTAACTTTAATGCTATTGAACATCATAGAACAGAACCAACTTGTTTAATAGAAACAGCTGTTAAGATTCATTAATTCCATTTATATATTAGTACTCATAAGGTTAACATGGGAAACTCCAGAGCCACTGGGGCGGAGCCCAGAGGTCGGAGGGTAAAATTCTTTAGTGAGCGTCTACTTTCCAAAAGGAAGATGCCTGCCAAGTTTCAGGTTCCTAGGTCTTATGGTTTCTGAGATTTCGTGATGAGTGAGTGAGTGAATGAATGAGTCAGTGGTATTCGAGCTTTATATATATATAGATTTTATTTGGGTCAGATATATTCGTTTGATCAAGATCTAGATGAACGCTTTATGCTACATTAAAATTCAAGAAGAACTTAAATCACAAATAATGTCGAGTTGATCAAAATATTTTTAATAGATAAAACCAATAGAAAATGTGTTTTTTTTTATTGTTTGCGTAGAAATCAGTGTTTGCAGCTCATGGTTGTACTGAAGAAATCCATTATCTTTCTTAAATTACTTAATACTTTTTGAATTTTTTCTATAACATAAATCACATATTTCTTCTAATCTAAAAAAATAATTAGTAGACAGTTATTGGACACTATTTAAGAAACAAAATTGTTTAATAAAAAAGGGTAAGCAAAATCACAAGTTAAAAGGATACCAATACTATTAATTAATGTCAAAAAGTGTAATGTTCATGATAGCCATATTCTAGTCCCAATGATATTATACACTTTTGAAAGTAAGGTATCAAATGCTTTGATTTTCCTTAACAGAATTATAGAAGAAACACAGTTTTTATGTTGAATAACACAATGGAGTTAAAAAACTAATAAAAGATGAGTTCAAATTAGTAATTTGAGTGTTACTCACTTCGTTTTGAAAAATTCCACAACTAAATGATATTTTGCTCAATTATTGGATTTGAAACAATGCCCCTAGATATCTAAATTGCAATGACTTTGGTATCTAAACAAATATTTTGGAATGATATATAACCTTTTAGTAGCTGTTTAAAATTATTCCAAGATGGCCGCTAGCTTCCAAAGAATCTTAAGAAAGGAAAAGACTTTTTGAGAGCGAATCGTTGAGCTCAAAAAAGGTAGCTGTATATAATAGCTGCATATTCTTGTTGTTAAATAACTCATTCGAGATTAAAAGTGGACGAGTAAAATCATTATCAGTGTAATAGGCATAAGAGATGGGATGAGTTGAGGGCATTGGACGTTGCGGCTGCGGCGGAAACTACAAACCACAGACGGTGTTTACCTTGTACAACTGGGTCAAGAATCAGCCACTTTGTCATGGCTCTTCCACTTCTTGCACACACTGTGCACTGTACAGTGAACATGTCACTTGACAACTTACGCTTCAAGCTGGTGTTGCGTTTGATGTTATTCTTTGACAGCACTGGTCATTTTGTAATAGTAAATTATTAAGTGTCAAGATATCAATTGTTTGTGCAAACAAGTAGCTAAAATTCGTTAAAAAATTTTCTTTGATGGATAAAAGTATTATTTACTTCTTGTTAATCGAGTCTTATAATTAAGTACCGGTATGATCCGACATTTGTATCAAGACACTATTTTAGAATTGTCTTTTAATCTTCAACATTGGCAAAAGGTTATGCTACAGCCATGTCTGTGGTAATGCTCAAACTACAATCCTCTACTTATAGCAGTTAGTTTTTAATAAATGTTCTTAAATAAAATATTAAAATTTTCATTAGTTTTGGTCTAGTTGTTCTTCACAGTCATTGTCAACAGTAGGCCTCAAACATAGAAATGCAGATAGATTAATTTAAAAAAAAGTTATGTTTAATAATGACATTCTTAAATTACTCTTTGTCAGCCTTTGTAGCTAACAGAATCTAGGTTTCATAACAGAAAAAGATCAGGTAGAAATACTGAAAAGCATTTTACATAGGCTTGATATTATATATCATTAAAATGTATGAAAACCATCTCAGTGTGGAAGAATTACTAACCGTATCGACTAAGTATCAATCAAATGTTGTAGACCTTTGGCCACAAATTTGGGGGATGTTAGAGAAAATTGTCGGATCCTTATAAGGAAATGTGATGAATGCTCGAGAATAAATTTCTTAATAAAAAAACCTATAAATAATTGGGTACTTACGTATTAAACGGAGGCCACATTTTGTCAGCGCGCTGCGGCGGTTATGTTAGGTTGGGTTATCGTAAATATTATGTGTGTAGGACTTTCCTCGCTTCGTTATGAATCGAACGATACCAGACAAGTTATACTTTCTATTATGATAACCCAACCTAACATAACCGCCGCAGCGCGCTGACAAAATGTGGCCTCCGTTTTATACGTAAGTACCAATAATTGTTAAAATATTAAATTATTTAGCCAACCTTGAATTCTCCAGAATTGGTCGAAGTTTATTTTCTAAACATCTAGTGCCCAATTAATAGCATTGAATCAAAGCCGCCATTTTGATTCTATCAGTCTCAAATTGGGCCTCATACTTGGTCAGTGCAACTAGTAAAAATCAATTACACTGTTGTATTTTTATACTATTTGTATTATTTATACTATTCGAGAAGCTATTAAATGATAGTTTACAATGGATAAAGTGGTAGTTGCTGATTTAATGTTACATGTTTTGTTACAGAAGCTGCAGAAGCAAGAACATGGAGGTGGTTCGTGTGACGAGGAGACGGAGAAGGTGGTGAGACAAGTCCAAGTCCACTATAACTACCTGCACGGCTTGCTGCAGAGACAGGAGGAGGAACTGCTCAACAAGATCCGTGGTGTGAGCGACTCCTCCAAGACTAGCTTGGCCCAACTGAACCAAGAGTTGGACAACAACCTTAAAGTGAGTACAACTGGACATTATATTCTTGTGTTCAAGTTGTTGCCGGTTATAGCAAACAATCAATAAAAGTGTTGTCATTGATTTTTCTGTTTAAAATTTGTATGAGCGCTTTCTATGTATCTCTTGTTAATTTAAGTTCCTCCATTTTATTTTATTCTTTATTACATGTTACAGTTTAGGTTTAAAGTTTTTCCATACATTTAAAAAATCTTTTGAATCCTTTATTTTTAACAGTTTTTTTCATCAACAAAACCACATCTTTTCACTTAAGTGCTTAAACGATTTTGATTGATAAAATTTAGTATGCTGTGGGCCTATTAACTCCAAACACAATGGTACGACCTCTAATGTTGTACAAATTAAGGCTCAAAAGTTATTGCAACTTGTGCGATTTTACCCATAAAACACCGGCATCTCAAGAGTCAACTACAAATGGGGGTCAAGTGTGTGACAAACCTGACATTCTGTACTAGTAATGTAATGGGGGACCAAGAGTGTAACAAACCTGACATTGTGTACTAGTATTGTAATGTGGGTCAAGTGTGTGGCAAACCTGACATTCTGTACTAGTATTGTAATGGGGGCCAAGTGTGTAAAAAACCTGACATTCTGTACTAGTAATGTAATGGGGGACCAAGTGTGTAACAAACCTGACATTGTGTACTAGCATTGTAATGTGGGTCAATTGTGTGACAAACCTGATATTCTGTATTAGTATTGTAATGGGGACCCAGTGTGTAACAAACCTGACATTGTGTACTAGTATTGTAATGGAGACCAAGTGTGTAACAAACCTGACATTCTGTACTAGTATTGTAATGGGGACCCAGTGTGTAACAAACCTGACATTCTGTACTAGTATTGTAATGGAGGCCAAGTATGTAACAAACCTGACATTCTGTACTAGTATTGTAATGGAGGCCAAGTATGTAACAAACTTTGCATTCTGTACTAGTATTATAATGTGGGTCAAGTGTGTGACAAACCTGACATTGTGTACTAGTATTGTAATGGGGGTCAAGTGTGTGCCAAACCTGACATTCTGTACTAGTATTGTAATGGAGGTCAAATGTGTGACAAACCTGGCATTCTGTGCTAGTATTGTAATGGAGGCCAAGTATGTAACAAACCTGACATTGTGTACTAGTATTGTAATGGAGGCCAAGTGTGTGACAAACCTGACATTCTGTACTAGTATTGTAATGGGGGCCAAGTGTGTAACAAACCTGACATTCTGTACCAGTATTGTAATGGAGGCCAAGTATGTGTAACAAACCTGACATTCTGTACTAGTATTGTTTTTCTTGCAGGAAGTTGAGGACTTGCTTACATTGAGCAATGACAGTTTGAAGACATACAAGATCAGAGAGTTCCCTCTCAACTTCTTGATTGAGAAGTTAAGGAACGTCACTGCGACACCTTGCCACTTGGTCTTGGATGAGGGGGACTCTCCAAAGTTTGAGTAAGTTGAACAAATAGATATGTTTCGTATTGGTAAAACTAAGTAGAATTTAATGTTTAAACGTAAAAAATTCTCTCAGGGTCTGTCTGGTAACTATTTAATCCTTGTGCATATACCTAGATACAACACTATTTCATTCTTGTATGCGGTAACACTGCAGTCTGACGTGGTGATAGAACCATATTCCTCCAAACTGCTTATCTCATGGCCACAGTTATTTTTACATTTTCAAGTATGTGCATATTTATCAACAGACAATGTTCAATGTACGTGGCCTCTGATTGGTGGTGTAATTTACCCTCGGATCATCTGTCAAATTCGGTCTGATTTTACTATATTCAAAAAGTCATTTCACTGCATATTTCTAAACTGATCAAAAATATTTTATTACAGTTTTGTTTATTTAACTCTTTGGGTATTTTCTTGGGCAGGAGGAAGAGATATTTATCCAGTTACCTCACTTTTCATTCCGGGAGGATTTCTAACTTCTCTCTGTGTATCTAAATAAAATATTATTCATTTTATGCTTACCGTATTGTTCCAGATTGGATATTGATCCTAATATAACAGAAGCTTTGGCTAACCACTGCTCGGTGACGGTCCCGAGTCATCATAGAATGTTCAAACTATGTTCTAAAGATGATCTTCCTGAATCATACACACCTGAGGATTTGAAAAATCAACCAAATCCATTCCTGAAACCAGGTATATTATATTACTTATTAAATCAATATATAGAGTTACCTTCGTCAATCAGCTCATAGCAGTTGTAACATTGTTATGGCTGTTTCAGCATATTCATGCCATCATCAGACGTTACGAGAAAGGTTATTGATAAGGGTGACAGGTCAGGGATATACAGAATTAAGTGTGCTAGTTGTCCTAGTGTTTATGTAGGAAAAACGGGGCGCACTTTTAAAACTAGATATAAGGAGCATCATCCGAAACCGAAAGCTGACAAACAAAAGTCTACATTTGCCCAACATCTAATGGACAACAATCACAACCTAAATGCCCTCAACACTGGCTTGGAAATCCTTCACACATGTACAAAAGGCAATAAATTGGACACCCTGGAAGAACGACACCACTAAGGCTGAACGTCTGATGATGGTATGGATATGCTGAAACGGTCGTAACAATGTTACAACTGCTATGAGATGATTGACAAAGGTAACTCTATTTATTGATTTTGTCACAAGATCAGCTCAGGGGCTAAAAATATGGATTTTAATATATTACTTAGCTCTTAAAAGGGTTAAACAGAACAAGAAAACTACTCATACTTCCTTTATTAACTATACTCATACTCTCTCATACTTTCTAGGATAAATTTGGGAAGTCCCAATTAGTAATATTTTTTTAATGTAGGCCTATGATTGATATTTTTATCTTTTTACTTATTGTTACTTTCTAAGAATTATACATATTGGTATATTCAATGCATATTGTTTGTATATAAGAGGGCTGTTTTTACGTAAAGCTCCTTAGTACGCCGCTTACTGTCATCATAATAAATTCCTCATTATCTCTAACCTATGATTTTTAAATAGGACAAAAATTAAATTTTCTTGTAGGCCTATTGGGAAAAAATAATTTGATGAAATATGTAATTAGAAATAAATATTGCTTTTATAGAAATTTCTTTATTTTCATATTTGTTTGTTAATTTCTATGTTTGATACTTAACTGTCAATTTTATATCTAGGCAGGTGGTGCTATTTTTTGGGTTAAAATAGCCATACAGTACTTAAGTAAGCCTTTTAATATTAGGCATAGGCCTACTGTTTTTGTTGATTTAGAACTTTTGGGAAAAAAGTATATATTTTCATTGTAGTGTGATCATAATTTAAACAATTTTTGCTTTTTAGACCTCAAATTTATCAAAAGCAAGGACCCGAGTATTGTGACTCAAAAGAAGCTGATGAACGTGTTTGAACCCTCTGTGTCGCCTACCCCATCACAGATGAGTAACAGTAACAAGTCTCAGGCTGGAGCATTAGCAAACAAGGGGTTCCCGAGAAACAACAACAATTTTTCAGGATCCACACACTCCCTGGCATCTCACGAGAGCTTTGTGGATCGACTCAAAAACATCGAGCCACTGGCTGAAGGTAGTTAAATCAGTGAATGAGGTATCATGGATTATCCTTACTGCAGCAAGTTGCAGGCTAAGCGAATTTCCATTTGTTTGATCACATTTTTACCCCTTGAACATTACAGATTCAGATTGTTCCCTATTTAAAAATATGTTTTACGAGTACTTTGGGTTGCTGGTACAGGGTAGGTTAATTTTTTTTTGAAACATCAACAGTGTTGTATAAATTTGCCAAATTTCATCAATATCAATAAACAAGAAGCCTACAACAGATAACTTGTTATAAAAAAAAGAAACATAGAAACTAAAAATTTACGGTTTTAACTACCCTAAAACGATAACACTTTACAAACAAGCTATGGTATGCTATTGCTAAGTTATTTTTAAAGCTCTACAAATGGTTTTTGAGGATGAGGAAAACATAATTTTTACCATCGTGGTTTAGATATTTTTTTCAATTTGGCATTACTTTAATCAACCATTTGAACTAAGCCTACTTGAAATTTCTAATTAGGTACCTATTCATATTCTTATTTGAAATTTTTTATTTTTTTATTTTCAGATACTGTTGAAATGGTCCAAGTAAGTCATTTAATCTCTCCAAACAATTTCTATGTCCAGCGTTCTCGTAATATCCAGGACATAGCTAGACTAAGAGCTTACTTCTCAAAAAATGCCAATAGAAGTAAAACTTTACCTGCAACGATTCACAATGGTAAGTATTTCTTGTCTAACTGTTTAAACCAAATTGCATTTCTGTATTTTTTTTTTTTTTTTTTACTTTATGGTCATGGAATTTACAGATTGTTTATTGCTTCACAGTTACGGTGGATTAAGTCTTCATCCCCCATAACCGACTTAATCCAGTTTCCCCCCAGGAGTGTGATATGTTTAAACCAAATTTCAAATCGCTTTAACAATCTAATCTTTGCAAAAGCTTTGGTTTTGAGATGAAAATGGTGAGATTCCAAATTCAAAAATACTGATGAAACAAGTAAATTGTAAGCTGGACTTGCAACAGGTGTAATAACTAACAATGCTGTACAATAACGATGTAGGTACAATACAGTTTCAATTTCATGTTGAATAATGAGATTAATTTAATAATAATGAGATCGAATAAGATTTTATAGACTTGTATTCTGAATGAAATGATTGAATAAACTGAATTAAAAGTAAACATAAAACAGTTTAAATTGTTCATTAAAAAATCTATATTTATTTAACTCTGTAGTGTATTAATTTAATTATAAAATGAATTGTATATTTCTAATTCAGATTCAAATAGTTACAAGTATTAAATTTGCTAGCTCGATCCATGTACCGTTAGATATCGTAGGGTGTGACGTCATATGGCCTAATCGAATAAACTAACCCCATTGGTTGTTTCCATCACACCACCTACCGTTCCCATTGCTACCTCGATCACCGGACACTCTTTGTACCGACAGTCATCGTCCTACCTCACCGGCTCCCGCACACTAATGCGTTTTTTCTTAACATAAAATGTGGTAATTATTTCAAGCACCTGATCCTCCTTCGTTCGCATCCAGGTTTGGATGCGACAAACTCAAATAAATATAATCTTCTAAATTAATTCCATATTCTTGTTAAAGTTTTACATAGGTTTTGAGGTTAGAAATTTCTGGTTTCAACTGTCACTATTGTATATTTGAATTCTACACCATTGTCCGATCTATTCCAATGGATTGTGTCATAAATTTAATAAAATAAACAAAACTAATTTTTTTACAGAATTTATAAAAAAACACTCGGTTGTTTAATGAATGGCATGGCGGACATACCTTCATCTCACTAGGGCAAGCCTAGTGAGAATGGGGGCCTATACAGAAAAATCAGGCTCATCACTCTATCGTCGCACACCTTAAAAACACCGGATTTCTTCTTCCACCTTGTGAATTTCATTGTATTTCTTTGCAGAGATGTTAACCCATTTGGTGTGGTGCCAAAAACTGCACATTCCTTCACAAAACAGAGATTTATCTGTATCCTTGCACATGGGCAAACAAGCACCTAAGTCTCTCCGCCATTGTCACAGCCACCAAATATAATATATATATTCTTTCTTCTTCTTCCATATAATATTCTTAAAATTAACTAAAACTTAATGTTATTGATTTTTTTTCCAGAATTACTTTTTATTCACAAACAAATGTTACTTGGTCGATGATCACATTCAGGTCTATATTTTATTAATTATATTTTTCAGCCGGAGTATATCTAGTGCACTATTCCCAAGACAACTGTTGGTATCGCGGCCGTATTGTTAGAACAGAAGGTGACATGTGTGAAGTGTACTACGTGGACTACGGAAATGTTGCACGAGTGCCAAAGAAATCGTAAGTCACATTAGTATGTATAGTTATTTCTTTCACTTAAAATAATCACACCTCTTTATATACTATGATTTCTCTTTTATCATCATTATTTATAATTCATTCTAGGATCTATGGTCATTGGAGTTGTGCATTAGATGTCAATACATAATATACAAGATTTAAACAGCTGTTTTAATAAAAAAACAAGATCCTTCCCTCCCACCTGTATGGGAACTTTCATGTCAAATGTTTACCAAATTCAGTGAGCCCCAAAACCTCAATCTCAGATCGTTTCTTATTTTGGCAGATTTTCAGCCAAAATAAGTAAAATGTTCTACAATGTGGTCAATTTTTATTAATTTGTATTCACTCTTTTTGACTATTATCATCACTGGTTTTATATTGTCTATGTATGTGCACATTTTATATTTTTTTGTTCTTTACTGTATGTATTAATACTGTATTATTTTTCATTATAGCTGTTTTGGGTTTATACCTGTAGCAATTTCCTTTCCCTTTACCATACCTTAACACGTTCGCGGCGGCACGTCAAATGGCGGGCGTATCCCAGGTCCGGCGTAGCCGTCAGCATCGAACAAACCCGATTGCCGCGTGTGATTGGCTTTCCAATTTCGGGCTGACAAATAGCAAATAACGTGCGAGGATGTCCTGCTTTACAACGAGAGTCGACGTAGTTCGCTAAACACCAACAGATAGCAGCACTGCTTGTAACGTAGCCGGTCCCATTGGAATGGTATTGCCAAATGGAGGGAAAAAGACGGGACAAAAGTAGAATTTTGAGATTGCCAGACGGGGATTTATGGGAAGATTTACTACCAACCAACACCACAACAAAATACAGTATACTATTGAGCAGTGCTGTGCGAGGTTTCAAGTTTCTAGCTCTAATCCTGGCTTAAAAATAAATCATTTCGTACTGCATTGCAGCTTGGGAGCGATCGCACCCACCAGGATGGCATTAGGGTTCCGTATGGGAGCGATCGCTCCCATGCCGCCGCGAACGTGTTAAGCAGGCTTGGACTCTTGTGTAAATAATTACGAATGACAGTATTCATTTGTAAATATTCATTTATAAATTCATATTGTACTGCTTCTCTTACCATTGAAAGACTTCCAGAATGAACTGTGACTGGTAATGTTGAGAAAGAAGCCAGTGGCCTTGAAACATTCAGTGTTCCCTTTGTGTTTTCTTTGTATACTTAAGTGAAGTGGGATGCCTAGAATTTTTAAGGTAATCCTGCTTATCCTGCCCTTTGTCAATTCTCAGGCATTAAAGCCATTTCCAATCAAACCTAGTTTATCAACTCTGTAACCGTCAAGGTGAACATTTCATGTTTGATGAAATTCAAGGTTTTTTGTTAATTATAACAATAATTTGAGCATATTACACACATTTTTATGGCAAAAGTAGATTATAAAGACACATTTATATGTAGGAAATGGGTAGATGTCTGAGTTCCAGCTACAGTACTCATTGTAACTCCGTCTTGACGCAGCAACTTACCCAATGTATAATGTAAACGTTGAATGTTTATTTGATTGATTGATTGATTGGTTGACTGGGACGGTGGCGTCGTCCTGTAATCCAGCTACTAGGAGGTCACGAATTGTGGATATTTATAGAGATGCACTGTGGATGCGATGCTCCCTAGTGTGGACTAATCTCTGTACTAGTGAGTACTACGACTACCCGCAGTGCTATCCTGATAATTAGACCAATTTGTTAATTACAAGACAAAAATGTGGTTCGGATTCCACTATAAACTGTAGGTCCCTTGGTTGCCATTGGCTGTATGGGATATTAATTAACAGCTGGTCTAAGGAACATGACGGCCTTAGTCACTAACAAGACTACAAGATCGTGCCACTCATCCCATCCTACACTCATCCATCACTCATATTTGGGTTAAAATACGCACCTAGTGGCGTCCCCATCTTAATAAATAATTGATTAGTTGATTGATAACTTTTCACAGGATACGGACCATGTCTGAGAAGTACTTCACCATACCAGACCAAGCAATCCACTGCAGCTTGAACAGCTGTACTCCCATTGGAGGGAATTGGTCACGTGAAGCTGTAAAACTCTTCTCACAGATGACTAACAAGTAAATATGTTTTATTCTCTCTTCATCTGTTATGGCGCAGGTAGGGTAAATATTATGTTTGAACTGCATGTTTTAGCCTCTGACCTGTGGGTGATGTAAGAAATTTAGTAGTGATGGGCGGATCCAAGAAAATGTCGGTACCGGATCCGGATCTTCGGATCCAGATACACACTGTCATAAGGGCGGGTAAAAAAAAACCTAATTAACAAAATGCCAATTTAAATCATACTGTTTAAAATAATATTGGTTATGTTTAAAGGTTAATATATCATAAATATAGAGTAATCTCCTATCTCCAGTTGAGCCCATAATCCCTCATTTTTTAGGGACACTAACAAAATCATAAAATACACTAAGTTTGCACGACCACCAAAAGGGTATCTGTGTATATTTTACAATAGTTCGATCTTCAGTATACTATATCGTAGTTTTTGCATGCAGCATCCAATTTATTTATGCCTGGAACACCTCTTGTTAATCTCTTCCTTAAATTCGTTCCAGGCCCACAGTACTGATAGCTAGGTACAAAACCAAAAACTAGAGGTGGGCAGATATCCGAAAAATCGGGTGGGATTCGGTTCGGAAAGATACATGCCATTGCCATATATGTTATTTGCATCAAGAGACAAACACTGAGACATGGCCTTGCCATATAAGTTATTTGTATCTCGAGACAAACACTGAGACATGGCCTTGTCATATATGTTATTTGCATCAAGAGACGGAGTCTGAGTCTGAGACATGGCCTTGCCATATAAGTTATTTGCATCTCGAGACACACACTGAGACATGGCCTTGCCATAAAAGTAATTTGCATCAAGAGGCAAACAATGAGACATGGCCTTGCCATATAAGTTATTTGCAAAGAGACAAACACTGAGACATGGCCATGCCATATAAGTTATTTGCATCTCGAGACAAACACTGAGACATGGCCATGCCATATAAGTTATTTGCATCTCGAGACAAACACTGAGACATGGCCTTGCCATATAAGTTATTTGCAAAGAGACAAACACTGAGACATGGCATTGCCATATAAGTTATTTGCAAAGAGACAAACACTGAGACATGGCATTGCCATATAAGTTATTTGCATCTCGAGACAAACACTGAGACATGGCCTTGCCATATAAGTTATTTGCAACAAGAGACAAACACTGAGACATGGCCTTGCCATATAAGTTATTTGCATCAAGAGGCAAACAATGAGACATGGCCTTGCCATATAAGTTATTAGCATCAACAGACAAACACTGAGACATGGCCTTGCCATGTAAGTTATTTGCATCTCAAGACAAACACTGAGACATGGCCTTGCCATATAAGTTATTTGCAACCAGAGACAAACACTGAGACATGGCCTTGCCATATAAGTTATTTGCATCAAGAGGCAAACAATGAGACATGGCCTTTCCATATAAGTTATTAGCATCAACAGACAAACACTGAGACATGGCCTTGCCATGTAAGTTATTTGCATCTCGAGACAAACACTGAGACATGGCCTTGCCATATAAGTTATTTGCATCTCGAGACAACACTGAGTCATGGCCTTGCCAAACAAGTTATTTGCATCAAGAGACAAACACTGAGTCATGGCCTTGCCATTAGCATCAAGAGAAACCCTGAGGCATGGCCTTGCCATATAAGTTATTTGCATCTCGAGACAAACACTGAGACATGGCCTTGCCATATAAGTTATTTGCATCAAGAGACAAACAATGAGACATGGCCTTGCCATATAAGTTATTTGCATCAAGAGGCAAACAATGAGACATGGCCTTGCCATATAAGTTATTTGCAAAGAGACAAACACTGAGACATGGCATTGCCATATAAGTTATTTGCATCTCGAGACAAACACTGAGACATGGCCTTGCCATATAAGTTATTTGCAAAGAGACAAACACTGAGACATGGCCATGCCATATAAGTTATTTGCATCTCGAGACAAACACTGAGACATGGCCATGCCATATAAGTTATTTGCATCTCGAGACAAACACTGAGACATGGCCTTGCCATATAAGTTATTTGCAAAGAGACAAACACTGAGACATGGCATTGCCATATAAGTTATTTGCAAAGAGACAAACACTGAGACATGGCATTGCCATATAAGTTATTTGCATCTCGAGACAAACACTGAGACATGGCCTTGCCATATAAGTTATTTGCAACAAGAGACAAACACTGAGACATGGCCTTGCCATATAAGTTATTTGCATCAAGAGGCAAACAATGAGACATGGCCTTGCCATATAAGTTATTAGCATCAACAGACAAACACTGAGACATGGCCTTGCCATGTAAGTTATTTGCATCTCAAGACAAACACTGAGACATGGCCTTGCCATATAAGTTATTTGCAACCAGAGACAAACACTGAGACATGGCCTTGCCATATAAGTTATTTGCATCAAGAGGCAAACAATGAGACATGGCCTTTCCATATAAGTTATTAGCATCAACAGACAAACACTGAGACATGGCCTTGCCATGTAAGTTATTTGCATCTCGAGACAAACACTGAGACATGGCCTTGCCATATAAGTTATTTGCATCTCGAGACAACACTGAGTCATGGCCTTGCCAAACAAGTTATTTGCATCAAGAGACAAACACTGAGTCATGGCCTTGCCATTAGCATCAAGAGAAACCCTGAGGCATGGCCTTGCCATATAAGTTATTTGCATCTCGAGACAAACACTGAGACATGGCCTTGCCATATAAGTTATTTGCATCAAGAGACAAACAATGAGACATGGCCTTGCCATATAAGTTATTTGCATCAAGAGGCAAACAATGAGACATGGCCTTGCCATATAAGTTATTTGCAAAGAGACAAACACTGAGACATGGCATTGCCATATAAGTTATTTGCATCTCGAGACAAACACTGAGACATGGCCTTGCCATATAAGTTATTTGCAAAGAGACAAACACTGAGGCATGGCATTGCCATATAAGCTATTTGCATCTCGAGACAAAAACTGAGACATGGCCTTGCCATATATATAAGTTATTTGCATCTCGAGACAAAAACTGAGACATGGCCTTGCCATATAAGTTATTTGCATCTCGAGACAAACACTGAGTCATATTGTACAGTGATACAGACTGCTTTGTGTAAGTAAAAAATTTGGGGTTGTACAGTGATACAGACTCCTTTGTGTAAGTAAAAAAATCGGTCTCTTACATTGATACAGACTCCTTTGTGTTAGTAAATTATCGGGGTTGTACAGACTCCTTTGTGTTAGGAAACAAATCGGGGTTGTACATTGATACAGACTCCTTTGTGTTAGTAAACAAATCGGGGTTTCACAGTGATACAGACTCCTTTGTGTTAGTAAAAAATCGGGGTTGTACAGTGATACATAGTAAAAAAATCGGTCTCTTACATGGATACAGACAGCTTTTTGTTAGGAACAAAATTTGAACAAATCGGATCCATCAAAACCGGATCCAGCCCAAGATCCGGAATTTTTTGGATCCGACCCGGTGCCGGTTCTAGCTCGGATCTAGCTCTAGTCCGATATCCGGATCCGACCATCACTAATATTTAGTAAATGCTTGATAATACTGCAGCATTTATTACCAACAACAAACATTGCATACTTTGGCAGTGCTGGATTATTGATCATCTTCTAAAATCAGCTGTTATTGTGATGCAGTACTAGAACAAACTCCAATAATTTTAGAGTGTCAAAAGAAAATTGGCTATGAGGCCAACATGTACTGTTTTTTTTTTTTTTTTTTTTTAGTAGTGAATACTCTATTGTCCTTCACTGCCTTGTCCAATGCAAACTTCTGGATAATAAAGCGCTTATTCTTGATATTAATCAATCTTATCAATGTCCTGTCACAAAGAATTCAAAGGTTTGAAATATCCCACATTTTTAGTAAAACTGCTGTCACTTCTCTTAAGGCAATAAAGAAATCTATGTTAGAATTAAAAGTTTAATTCAAGGAAAACTGACCTTTTACTTAGTATTTCATTTGATCTCCCCCCCCCCCCCCCTATCACTGTGAAATCGTGAAGGTCTTCTGCAGTCTTGACGAGTCACTGCAAAATCAAGTACATCCGAAGTCACTGTGAAATATAGAAAAAGTTTTCAAATGGCTGTACTAACTAAACTTTTAACCAGACACAGTTTACATGTACTTAACTGAATTAAATCTTAGTTATGTCCGTCCAGCTGATTGATATGATTCAAAGGAGTGTAGTTAAGTATTTTTTTAAATTAATAATTTTACACAAAGTTAGTTGTAAGAATGTGAATAAAAATTATTTTGGTGGTTTTTTATGAGACTTTTGGGGTGAGCCGGTACAGAACAATAGTTGAGCTACCAGTCTGTCGTACTACTGTATCAACACCAACCATAAGAAAATATGTTTTGTTCACAGTAAGGAATTGGCAATGTACATTGAAAGAAAATTTGACATAAAAAACAATCTTCATGAAGTGCATCTTCAATTTGACGGGTCTTCTCTAACTGATGCTCTAATATACAATGGGTACGCAACTCGTGTAGCCAGTACTGCAGATTTCGGCGGAGGATTGTATAAGGTATGTTAAACATTACTTGCGAGGTAATTCAGTATCAGAATCCCTTTATCATTGTTTGTTAACATATCAGTGATAAAGAACACATTACACAGTAGTTTGCAGTACAAGATAGAAGATTTGTTTGGTTTCCATGTTTCTGATCGCTTGTGGTAGTTTATTAACAACTTATCATGTTTATATTTGCTGATTGATGGAGGAGCGAGCTGGTGTAGTGGTTAGAGCGCGGAACTTCAGTTCCTGTGGTCCCGGGTTCAAATCCTGCCAAATCACCAATGGATTTTATCCAAGTGATAATGCCGCAACCCCCAGGTTTAGCCTGAAGTAATGTGAAAAACAATTCCGGGCTCGTGCCTAGCGTCCTAGGACAACAAAATAATATTTGCTGATGATAAATTGATAAATTGGAAGTTGAAACCACTTGTGATATATGACTTCTTTTTACTTACATTCATATTGAGATGTTAAGGTTTTGCATTTGCATATTTCAAAATTCCTTAAGTTCCTTAAGAATTGTGAGATTTTAAAAACCTGGGCAGTCCTGTAAATAGTCCTAGTTATTTAAAGAACTGAAAATATTAAGAGTCCTATCAATTAAAATCTAGCAAACATTAATTTTAATTCTAAACTTGAATTTTGTATGAATGGAAATTGTTAATACAATTATTTAGGTTTTAAGGTTTTGCATAATATTTAAAAATTACAAAATAGGTCGTAAGAAAGAATTAGGATATTTTGAAAACCTCGGCTGCCCTATGAATTATAAAAAAAACTGAAAATGGTAACAGTCTCATTAATTTTAATTAGCGATTTGTCAATAACCAAAATTGATCAATTCTCAATACTGATACCTGAAACATCAATTCTCGTTACCGATACAATTTTTTTTGTTTTACCAAATTTTCTGAATTGATTAGTTATGCTACACCAACCCCTGTCTTTATGTCTTTTTATAAAGTAGTTTTGCGGTAATGTGATGTTAAAGAAAATATTAATGCAGGAATGAAAAATTCAAACTAGCCAATTTAAGTTTAATGCCTTCTAAATACATTAAACATCCATCATAAGTAAATTAAGATCTTAAAAAGAAAAATCAGAAAACACATTTTTTTATTACTAGAGATGTGCCAGCCTGTTATTTAGTCAAGCCAAACTCAAGGTAATATCGTAATCATCTCCCACACATCATCGTCGTCATCTGGGATCACTGCAAAATCCTGAATATCTTCCTAAGCCAGGGAAACATTATCACTGTCTTTTGTAGTTGATGCAAAATCCTGTACCTAAATAAATTGCTCTGTGGTAATGGAAGCATCATTATTATCTTATACCGTGTGTAAAAGTTTTTTTTTTACTACTAAATTTATTCCTTCTAAATTTTGAGCTCTACAAAATGGTTTAGAGAGAAATTCTATGTTTTGAGGATTAAATTTGACATGAACCAATTTTCACCCCATAAAACCCTGTTCCCATGGTCAGATAATTGGTGGTTCGTGAACTTGTTCAAATTAACCTAAATTTTAAATTTTCATGTTTGTACTGAATTTTATAAAAATCTGATCATTTTAACACTTTTAGTTACAGTGCTAACAGACACATCTATCTAGGCCTATGTCAATTCAAACAGATGGTGTTTTTGGCCGCTGGTAGTGATGTGGGCCGGGTAAATTCCCAGTGGGTAGGTAAATATAAATTGGGTATTTACCCGGGAATTTACCCCAGGCTTGGGTAAATACCCAAAAACTGGGTATTTATAATTTTTATTAAAGTTAGAGAAGATTAAGATGTTTTTTGCAATTATCACCCTGTAAGGATAGTAAAATGATGATAAAATGTGTTAAACAAAATTTCATATGGCCACTACTAGCATTTTACTTCTGGGTACAATCGCCATAAATACCCAGGTCTGAGCATAAAGCATAATCGGCATAAATACCCTGGTCGCATGGTTGCACTGGTCTCGACTACTTATGATTTTTTAATTTCTATGATAGATAGATGAATTTATTTTATTTAAAATGAAGAAAAATAATTTGCAAAGTAATAATTATTAGGTATTTATAAATACATGAAAATTTAACCTAGTAGAGGCCTAGGAGTGTAAACAACTTAAGAAAATAATTAAAATTCAATCTGTAGGATGGCAGGTTAATAATATTTTTGTTCTAGATCTTTTGTTGGTATCAATGGTATCAAAAAAAAAAAAAAAAAAAAACTAATATCATAAACTTGTGATACAAAACATTTAAATCTATATAGCACAATAAATCTTTCAAAACTATATTAAGTTAGACCAAAAAACAGGAGATACATTTTTTTAGTAGGTTTATCCAAATATATTATTTTTTCCAACTACAGTAAGCGGTAACACAGAAAAGTTTAATTACTTTTAGTATTCTGCCAGCCTTCCAAGCCATTTATACGATAACATTTTTTAACTATCATAATTTAATAACAGTAGCCTAGAAGTAGGTTTAGGTTGACTATTTCTCTGACGATGTGTTGTCTTGATAAAAAACGAAACCCCATTCTCATTTGAAAAACTTTATGTTTTATTTTTTAAAAAGTGATAAATCATTAAATAAAAGGTAGGTACTAGCAAAGCTACAATTTACTGTAAAAGGTGTTATAGACTATCCTAATTTTTCATGTAATGATAACAATAACATATTTAGGGGTGAATATAAATTAATTTCAATTGATTTCATAAATACCCAAAATACCCGGGTATTTATGGATTTTGGGTATTTACCCGGGTAAATACCCAGGGTATTTACCCTGAGTTTTAAATACCCGGGTATTTTACATCACTAGCCGCTGGGGACATCAGAACAAAAAAGTAAACTGGTCCCGTCTCGGGTCTAGGTCTTCCAATTAGACCTAAGATAATAGCTTATTCTCTATATGGGAAATTGCTTATACCCTGTTTGTCTAAGTATATTAGATGATTTTTTTTATAACATTTATAATAACAATAATATTTAAATGATTACAGAAGGCTTAAATACAATATAGCTTTGTCAAATTATGGTATTGAACATTTTGAATTGGGGTTGGTCAGGTCATGAAATGTCTGGAAATTTTCGGGAAATTCTTAATCTCGTTATACGAGACGAGGTTTCTTTTTGATTAAGATTTTTTTGAGATGAGAATTTAAAAAAAAATTAAAATTAAAACGCCTGCAGAAAGTCAATGCAATACCAGCAATACAGGAGCGTGTTGTAGTTGCGTTTCCTTTGCGAAGCTGTTCTTATTTTATTTTTATTTATTTTTATTATTTATACACAGTGTGAGGCATGTTTTACTACTATAAACAAAGCCAAAACAAGTAACTATTTTATACAAATTAATATTGCTTTTATTTTATGATTTATTTTATTTAAAGATAAGTTTAACTCTATCCCAACTGATATCCCCATGTTTCTTAATCGTAAGAATTTTTAATAAGTTAGGCGTAATTAATATAAATTTTTTATGCTGATGTTTTTTAATATAAGATTTTAAATATTCCTGCCTATTATTATTATTTTTGTATTTGAACAGTTATCTAACAATGTTACAAAATCAGGTAAAAATGTTGAACGTGCATTTCCCGTTGTGTATGAGAAGGGAAATCCCGTCTCGATCTGGTCTCGAAATTTTATGAGAAACTAGCAGAGTACCCGTCCTTCGTACGGGGTTGGAATATAAGTATAAAATGCTTATTGTAGTTATACTCAAGCTTTGCGTTTGCAATAAAGGAGGACACAGTTTGATAAAATTTGCTTTTTTAAATTTACAGTATTCTATAGTATTACACATCTACCATAGCCATAATGTTCTACCACTTCACCTAAATAATAGAGAAAAATAAATTATCAACAATTCGCAAAATATCACAAATTTTTCATGAAATGAAAAACATAAACATAACTGTAAACAATCCTACTTTGACAGTTCTCATTGTGAATCACAGATTTTTGTTGCTGCTTAGTTCAAATTAGCTGTTTTCATAAATGCACAAAAAATATAGTGCTGCACCCTGTTGGTAAATCTTATAACTTTTTAATGCTTTTCCATATCATAGAACTAACTTTTTTTAGTTAAAACAGCTGACTAAATTCTTTAATTCCCTTTAAATATGAATACTCATAAGGTTAACATGGGGAATTACAGAGCCACTGGGGCGGAGCCCAAAAGGATTTTTGAGATAAGAATATGCCTATATGTTAATCGGGAAAGTAAGCTATCATCATGCCAAATTTCAGCCCAATCCCGTCCAGTGGTTTATGCGTGATTGAACTTCAAACACACAAACAAACAAACACACAAACTTTCACATTTATAATATTAGTAAGATAAAAAATCTTGTCTCGTCTCTATTCTCGAACTAAAAATCCAATCTCGTCCATTCCTATTTTGAATCCCATCTATGTTAAATAGAACTTGATACTAGTGTCATAGAGGTTTGAAACTATAAAATGATTGATTGTCTATAGACATTTTCAATTATAACTTGTCCTGATATATTTCTGTAGCTGATGCAAGAAATCCCAAGAATTAAGACGTTCAAAAACATACCAGTGAAGGAGAAGGATGATTTTACTGGAGTAGTGACATACATCAATGTGCCTACACATTTTTATCTACAGAAGGTTAGTATTTAATTAGTCTTTCACACGTTTTCTACTTTGAGCTTTTTTTGACTTAAATGGTTAAAACAAAGTTTTTCAAAAAGATTTTTGATTTAAATGCAATCTTTTTATGCTTTTCATAGTCTCAATGAAATTTTTATTTAACAAATATTCCTCGTGTTTATCTCTCAATGCTTTTTCTTGTCATCAATGATTTTGGATTGATGTTGAGCTTTGCTTGCAGAAATAGTAAATAAAAATTGTGTTACCTTTATGGTCAAAATATTAAATGCCTTTAGCTAAAATTGCTTTACTTCATTGTAAAATCATTCTTATACTGATATTTTATTTTTGATTATAACAGATCACAGATGCAGGAGCTGTGCTTAAAAAGCTGAAAGATGAACTTGATGAAACCTACAACAGAAAAGCTAGAGGTGTTAAGGTGTTCACACCCGTCATTGGTATGTCGTCATTTAGGTTTTTAAGTCAGAATTAATCATCATTAACTTAGAATTATAATGACAACTGTATGTACTACATGAGTTTTAGCCTACTTATTATTTTTTTACACTCAATGCAATTCTATGAAATAGTAGATTAGCTCTTTAATTGAATTTAATACATAGTGATGATATTGTAGCTTTAATGCAGTAATGAATTCATTTGATTGGATTTAATGTTATTGCTAGTTTCTGTAAACAATTCTTCTACAAAACGAAAAACAATATTTGCCATATTGATTAAGAAAATTACCATTAAATGTGGGATAGTTACTTTTTTCAACCTGGCTGGATTAGCCTCTATATCCGTTACATTTTCTTAAACATTAAATTTTAGAAAAGTAAAATTATTTTGGAGTGATGACGCTATTTTGTGTGTAGGATTGCCAGTCGCAGCAAAGTTTGAAGAAGACGATTGTTGGTACAGAGCGATCATAATTGATACTCCAGAGGCCAGAAACGTCCAGGTTAAGTTTGTCGACTACGGCAACATCAGTATGGTAAACATCAATGACATTCGAGTACTTGAAGAGAAGTTTTTGAGGACAGCAGCTCAGGTAAGTTGATAGACATTTGCAAAGGCCATTACAGTTGTAAGGAGTGACTATAGTTATAGGGTGATTATCTGAAGGCGCTGGTTTGAATCCAAGCGAGACTGATTCTGGACGTAGATATCATTTGTACAAGTTTGGCCTGTGAAATTGTAAAATATCTGTTGTCTCTGTGCTAATTCAATATTAAAAACGTAACTGGATTCATTAAGCCTCGTTATAACTGAAAGAATAAACCAAATAATAAGATGTAAAAAACACAGTGAGAATTCCAATTGAACCGGCAATCAATAATTTGACGCTTTCAGATTGAACTAACAAGTTAACCAACAAATAAGTCGACGGGCTTGTTGGATGGCTCATACTATGATGGACACCGTAGCACTAAGATTGTTAAAAAGCAAAGTTACTTTATAACTCTGTGTCATTGCAGGCTATGAAGTGTTCCCTCCACGAAGTCGAACCACGCCACTCCCAGGGATGGCCGACGTCAGCCAAAGCAGCTTTTGAGAAGCTGGTGAATGACAAGCTGTTGCGTGTTTACGTAGAGAAAGTAGGGAGAGATGAGAACAGTCCTGTCAGTGTGGTCCTGTACGACACGTTACCTCACAAACAGATCAACATTAGTGGTACTCTGGTGAAGACAGGGCACGCACTATCTACTGGACAGACGTAAGTAGGACCTAGGCCTAGCGTTTCACGGCATCAGGTGATAAACGGTATTTGATTCTGGTGCCTTTGAGTAGCATAGTCCCACATACTACTACTAGATGAACTCGCTCCTAAAACGTTTGTAGGATAGGTGCGACTAAATTTTGAGTTCTGAATAGGATTTTAAATTTTCTTTTCAAATTCTTGATTTTTATATATTGTTTTAAATTCTTGTTTGTCTAATATAGAAAATTTGTTAAACTTAAAGTAAAAGAAAATTAAAACAAAACCCAGTGCATAAGTTATGTTTAAAAATAAATAAGTAAAAAAGTACAGTAAAAGATATTTTTTGTTTGACTTTTTTTTATTTAAATGTATGTTGTCACAAATATTTTTATAAATAAGAAGAAAAAAACTAACTGAAATTCAGGTGGCACTGGGGAGAAGAAGAAATATTACGATTCAGTCAGTTTTGTAGTCAATGGCAGTGAGTGATTAGACAGTGCTGTTCAGCCTTTACAGTTTTATAAGTGTTATCAATTTTTATTCCATTTTATTATTTTATCAACATGACCAAGTTTTAATTATTGTGATTTGTGACAGTCTTTTAAAGAATCTATTGACATACCACAATGTATTCATACATTGATCATGTGGTTGCATACAAAATAACCTGATGAATTTCTAAGGAACTAAACTAGTCGTCATACCAACAACTGTGGTTGGATAAGGTCATCAAATATCTATGTATATTAAATATTTATTATAAATATTTATTTTAAAACAGATTAGAATTAATTATTTGTTATGGAAGAGACTAAAAGCATTTTATGTAACGATGTATTTGTGTCAACAAATTATTTTATTTGTATGGATCAAGATTTTAAATATATTATGAGTACTTGGAGGCTAGTGGCCATCTTGGATTATTTCAAACAGCTGCTGACCAAAGTAATTGTAGTTTAAATACCTACTGCACTTTGAGATTAGAAATCTTCTGTTAAATTTTTAAATTGTTTTATGAGTAGGATGTCTAGGCTCCAAGGACTCTTACTTAAGTGAGGTTTATTTTATTAAAAAAATATGAAAATATTTGAGTAATAATTTTGCAGCTCGGCTCAAGCTGAATATGCCTGTGCCGTTCTACCTAGCGATCCCGAGGCGATTCAATCATCCGATAATAAATCAACTTACTCAGAGGTAAGTGTTAAACTGGTATCTATTTATTATTATATATTACGTAGTAGAATAAGTTTTTCAAAATGTTTTAAGTTTAAATTGCTCTGGAAATTCACCTAGAATCTGCAATAAGTTTTAAATTACAAATTAATCTAAATAAACGTGTAAATTGTGTCCTAGTAAGTACTGTGAGCCTCCTTTCACTTTGAACTAACTATTTTCCTGGCTGACTCTAAAATAACTTTTTCGTTTGTTGAAATTGACTTTTGTCGGTAAATGTTCAGTAGACTTTCGCGAATCCATTTCATTTGGTTATTTTGCAGTGCTGGATTATTAAAAATGCTGGATAACTGAATGCCTTCTAAAAATTGTCAATATACAGGCAAAAGTACAGCTAATTTTAAATTCTGTAAAGGAAATTGTTGGCTGGGCGAGCGATTATTCTGTATTTAGATTATTTAATGGTGCTTTTTCTTATTCTAGTACTCATATAGAAAGCTAAAGATATTACTAAAATTGAATGCCCCGAATTCAATGATTACTTCTGACTGCCAACTGCTCCTAATGTCTGCCGATCGTTCATGCCAATGCTGAAGGCACTAATATGGCTTAAAACTGTCAAAATAATTTTAAAATGAAATGAAAATCCTCTAGTTAAAGGCCACATGGTCCTTTCTTACACTTAACCTACAATCATTTTGTTGGAGCTTAAAGCCCCCATACACGGGTGAGCATGTTCGCGAGCATGTTGGCGAACATGTTCCTGAACATGCTCGGCGTTGGCAACAGACGGACGAGCATGCTCGCAAACATGCTTGGCGTTTCCAAGAGACGGACGAGCATGCTTGTGAACACGTTCGCGAACATGCTCGTCGCACGGTAGTGGTTCCTAGGCCTATTCTTGCTTCTCTTGTGCTCTGTGACAGTCAAGTTGTGTGTAGGCCTATTTAGCCTACTCCTGCTTTTTTGCTGCAATTACAGCATTTAGTTTTTTTTGGAACATGCACATTATTTCTTAGACATAACTCAGGGGTGATTTATTTTTAGCCGATTTTGTAATCGGCCGATCTAAAAATCGACCGTTTATGCCAGGCCTTAAGTTATCGGATTAAATTAATCCGTCATGGTTTAAAAATAATGTTGGTTAAAATTCCATAGTTGTGCAATAACATTTCTCGTAGTTTTGCTTATTCTAGCCTTTCTTAGAATTATTTAATTGTGACAAATTACTACAGAATTGATTGTACACATTTGTGTAGTAATATACATATTGTAATTGATGAACCCTCTATTTTGGAAACTCATTTAAATTTGTATTTATCGCGTTACAAACACAAATAAATATTTGTTTAGCTTCTGTAAACATTGATTCTAAATCTATTACTGTAACTACACCATGATGATTACAAGTGCAATCTGTCTATTGCGGCTACTTTGTAATGGCGGTAACGAAGTAATCGTTTGGAACCGGAATGGTTACTTGTAAGTTGTAATGAGTCCACGAGTGTAACTGGAATCATAGTAGCGGCTACATGGATGGAATCATTTAGCCTACCTCTACCCAAGTTGCAGCGGCGAACATGCTCTCGAACATATGGTCGTTCCCACAGACGGGCGAGCATGTTCATGTTCGGGCTCGTCAAGTCCGACGAGCCGAGCGCCGAGCCCAACATGCTCGCCGCGACGGATCCCACACACGGGCGAGCATGTTCGTCGCCAACACCGTCACGAGCATGCTCGCCCGTGTATGGGGGGCTTTAGACTGATGCCGGATTATTGAAAGCGCCATACCGGGCTTTTACTGTACTTTTATATGTCTCATCCATATAATTTATATTCATATAAATTTATTTACAATAAATCTTAAATTACTTAACAAAAACCTTTTTTCATCTAATAACCTCTGAATTTTGGTTTTCAGACTTTGCTTGGTTGATTATTGGTTGAGTCCTAAATTATGAATTATATATAATTTTATGTTCGAATTACTTGCTATAAACCATGGGACAGCCATGGTTTATAGTAATTCAAACATAGCTGAAGTGAATTGTATATTTTAACGGACATTTATGAGGTTTGGGCCTCTAAAGCATTGTGGCATTTTGGAATTGAGTCCATCTAGTTTACCTGGGAAAGTTAAAGTCAATGGGATCCTTAATCTCAAAAAACTAAATAAATATGACAAATTTTAATATTTTAGTTAGAATCCAACTAGACAATTAAAAATTACTCTTCAAGTTTGCTGGAGCTGGGAAATTATTGTCCATGTATTGTCAGGTATTGTCCTTATCCTTTACTCTATTGTGTTTGCCCCTTTACTGAAAAATGTGCAGGTAATCAAGCTGAACTCTATTTCTGTTAAAAAAAATCTTTACTAGCCAAAGGAAATCTTTGGATTTCCTTAGTTTGGCACCCTGGGTACAGTGTGTGATTTCTTGCCGGTCTCTTTCATCCATGTTAAATTTATCTATACTTTACAGAGTTCTGGTGTGTCCAAGGCCAAATCTAATCATTCTAAAGATCAAAAGACCAGAAAAGATTCTGAGAAGGGGCGAGAGATGTCCGTCAAGAGAAATCAAAGTGTGCAACCTGACTATAGTATTGACAACCGGATAAAAGTGGCACTACTGAAAGTAGTCTCACCGGCAGAGATATACATCTCGCTAGGAAATTCACAGAAACAGATCGCAAAGTAAGTTTGTTGTTCATGTTGCAATTTATTTTTCCAGCAATCATAAAATAAAGGTTTAGATTTTAAAATATATTCAACTAGAGAACCCGTGCAGTATGAAACATAACGCCGAGGAAAACGTTATGCTTAAATTCGAGTAATTCTAGTTACATCTTAGAGTTGTTTAAACACTTGTTAGAAACTAATTATAAATATCTCTATTTGCGTCGTCAAGGTTCACCTACATAATTTCTGCTCTCAGTTTAACTGATAACTTCTAATGAATGCTAAACGATCTGCTTCAATTAGAGCTAACATGTTGCAACAAAGTTTTTCCAGCATTGAGAATTGAAGAAAACTGTTGCCTAGACATCCCCCTAGGGAATTAAACAAATTTTCTCCGTAGAGATTCCTGAAAAGTGAAGTGATATCAACCATTTAAGTGCTCCATTTTTTACCCACAAACTCTGGGTTATCAACTGGAAAACCATAATCTGCTTTGATTAGGCTAAAGCAGCGACACCATTGAAAGTTGGTTACCGTATTTTAAAGTGTTGTCTGTCAGTCACAGTAGGCTATATGCCCCGCATCAGAACGTTCTCATGTTGTTCAGTGGGATTTCTCTTTATAGGCCTACCTGTCCCAAAGTTTTGAAAGTATGAATTCATTTTTTGAAATAGGTTGGATAACTCTTGTAGCTATAAGATTTGCATAGCAATTTTCATTTTCTCTTTTTGAACAGCGTATATTATTTGCCTCTCCTGAATCATAAAAATAAACTTGACTGTAACTACTCGATCGTTGAATACATAAACACTAATTCCTTCACTTATGTCTAATATTGTCACTAAAATTTTCAATAGCAAATGAGTTTTTGAAACTTCTTATTTTTTACTTGAAATGTCTGGATTGTGTTGGTGAATTAAGTCAAAAAACTTTGTATAAGTTTGTCAGAGGAACTGGCAACATAACCTAGAAGTAAACAATCCATTTGTGCTTTTCCTCAATTGAAGTAGAGCAAGTAATACAAAAGTTTACAATAAAAACATAAGGTCCACCAAGATTTGGTATAATCTTACTACTTGAACTTATCAAAGTCAAGGCAATATTATGGTTTTCACTAAATGTTTTGAAATATCTCGATCTGTCAGTGTCATAAGTAAAAATTTCTTGCATACATTCATTTGATCTGACATTAGGCAAGTTTATTTTACCACCGTGACAACACTATGTGCTTCGTATATTTTTTCTCTTCCAAAGTAAGTTACATAGCAGAACTGACCAATATTATTCATCTCACCGAGTGAATGTATCTGGATGGATACCCATCTGTTAGAACAGGCCTCTATTTCTCTACTCTTCTTATACACATAAGATACCTTATTATTAATTGTCTCCTCCCGTTTTCAATATTTCTTCTTTGAACTTCAGGCATTTTCCGATCTTCCAACAAAACTGATTAACTGTTTAACTTGGTCTTAACCTACTGAATATTACTAACATTAATATTTACTCCCAAAAAGCTAGTGAGTTTCTTTTTATAAACAGCTGTTTTTTGTTTTTAAATTTGTTCTATGTATTTCTTATAGGGAAACCCGACCCTTAAGAGGGTCTCACGCCCTTAAGAGTAGAAAATTTAAAATTATGAAACCTTATTGCAAAACTACATATTGAGACAAATCATTTGACACCTTAAACGTTGAAATTGGTCCACAAATAAGGGAGGAGTTGCGTTAACAAAATACGGCTTCACGTATTATATATATAGATAGATAGATTCAAATTCTTTGTATAACCTGTTTGAAAAAAGTGGTTTCCAATAAATAATAATAATTTTGTATAGCCTACTGCAGTTAAATAGGTAAGATTTAAGCTATACCATTGGCAATTAAGTATAAATTTATGTACAATTGTACATAATTGTTGGATGTCTATATGAAAAACGTTTTTTTTTTCTAGGTATTTTTTTTACAGTTAAAACTGTTTCTGTCATATGCTATTAAAAAAATGTAAGAATGGAAGATAGATAGTTAGTCGTAGAAGTTTTAATAGAGTATCCTTGTCGGAATTTTGCAGGCTTGTTAAAGAGATGACAGAGTTCTACAAATCAGACAACAAAGAAGAGGAAAGAGATTGGAACGTGCAAGATATTTGTGCAGTTTTAAATCCAAAGGATGACAAGTGGTACAGAGGAGTGATTACCGAAACATCTCACACAAATTTTAAGGTAAGAACACCTTTGACTGAAATGGAGAACGTTAAATTATTGATCTTTCTAAAGGTAGGTTACAGTGCCACATCCAGGGCTCAAACGTTGCAGTAGGAAAAAATTGTACTAGGTATTTAATTAAAAATGGCGTTGATTATATGCAAATAACTGTAGAACCTCAATTATTGGGAGTACTTGTAGTGATGTGGGATCATACCAGAATCAGAAAAATAATGCACTAGAGTCCTGTTATTCTCTATCAAGCACATGTCATTGTGACCCATGTGATATTTTTATTTGATTCATGTAATGCTGCAAAATTTTTTTGTTGTAAATAAAGAGTTTTCTCTCCCTCTCTCTATTCCGAACCACCTGTTAGGAAACAACTGATGCTACATTTCAATTAAAAACAAAGTATGCAATCTGAAATTACTAACCATGTTGTCAAGCTTACCTGGTAACTGTGTGAATTGTGTGTGAAACCGGGAAATTTGGAATAACCAAAATTTGCTTATGGCCTAACATTCATTCATTAACAGCAGTCCATTGGTTCTTTTGAAAGGTTATCTTAAAAAGTAAGAAGATTTCGTTGTTTAACCCTCCGAGTGTCCATAGTTTAGGCCTTAAAGTCCGCCTATTTTTGGCGCATTTGCAAGGTTTTATTAAAACGGATCTGAGAAGCTTAAAACAAAGTTAATTCTACTGTTCCATATACCATTTTGTTTGAAAAATCATGGGCTTCAATATTATATATAAAACATAAGGAACATTTGTTAAAAAAAAATATTTTGGAAAATTAAAAAAAAAAAAACATAAGTTTGCGCTCAATGAAATTGAAATTTGCTCTAGGCCATAGGGATTTAGGTGTTCGCGTAATTTCGGCAGGCTCTGCCCCTCTCCCTCAAAACTGAATTAATAATAAGTTAAATTAAAATTGGCTGCTTGATTATAGTTAATCACAAAAGTAAGACGGTAGGGTATAACCAAGTAAGTGTGTCCACTGGGGATAAATAATGGTTTAGGTACACAAAAAACATTACAAACATTGTATTGGCACAACATAAAATTACTAAGAAATACAAAACCTTTTTGATGAATTATTGCTAAAATAAGTAAAATCCCACACGAGAATCTCAAGATATTAGCCTACTACAAGTTTACTAGTTTTTTAAACTTCTGCTGATGAAACTTCAGTAGGCCCTAACTTGAACTTCAGTCTTAGAAATTCCCGAAAACTGCACAGCGACTTTCAACTCTATTGACAAACATTCTTGCAATGTGCTTATCATCAATAGATTTTTGACTATGACGAATACTCAGTGCGAAATTCAAGTGTTACCTGTTAGTTAACTCTCCAAAATTCCAATACGATCATGAACATCAATTAAATTAATTATTACTTTTATAAGGTTTTGTGAGTATTAAGCCCCTTCATAATAAAATTAAATTGTTTATCTTTGTACTTATCTTCAATAGGCCTAACTGTTATTAGGCCTACTTATACTTTTCTTCTTGGGCCGAAAAAATAAACGTATAGGCTACAGTACGGAATGCTTTATATCTTTAAATTTTTTATATGAACCCCTGACCCTTGACCCCCCTGACCCTTCCTAAAATTTCAGGGGGGTCAACTGACCCCCCTGACCCCCTGGTTCCGCCGCCACTGTCTTCAGGATCATCAACCAGCCCTTCAAAATCACTTAAATCTTCTTATAATGCACCACGTATATCACAACTTTTGATTTTTAACACTAAAACAATGATAAACGTAATAAAACACATCAGTCATCGGTCCGAGGTTTACCAAGCTGTTTACAAATACACTCGTCAGCTGTCTGCTACAATATTTTCTGAACTAAAATGAAAAGCGCTTAGAGACAGACCTCCGGAGAAAGCTTAGAATCTAACAAAAAGAACGATACCTAACTCGATCCAGTTCAATCCGATTCAGTCAGTCATAGAGCCTTCGCCGTAAACGATGTTAGTGTGTCGAAAAATCAACAAGTGACACTACAGAAAGTGTGTCGTGAGTCGATTTTTCGACAAGTGACGCTCGGAGGGTTAACTCAGTGTTTTTATGATCGTAGTAGTAGTATATGACCATTTATAGCCATAAAAATACTTTGTTTTAAAATTGTTATTAAATTTTACTATATGTCTGCATACTTTGCATACTAGGATTGCAGGATCATGAATCCTGTAGGGATCACTTTTCCAATTTAAATTTGCTTACACTGCCATCTATGTACATTCTTTGTAATTTAATTTGTATAAAAAACAACCCCTTAAAATTTTCTAGCTATTCTCATCCATACAACACGAGGCACAAAAACAACCTAGTCACACCTCAAATCAGACTTTCAAAAACTTTAAATAGCCATCTTTACATCCAACATATTTTCTTCAACAAGCTACCCACTTGTTTTCGTGAACTACCTTTAAACCAATTTAAAAGAAAAATTACTGAGTTTTTAAAATCAAAAGCATTCTACACGCAGGAAGAATTTTTAAATAGTGACATATCATGTTTAGTTTAGATTCTAAATAGGATATTGTATATATTGAAATTTATAATTGATGTATGATCTATTTTTAAGTACTATTGTAACAATGCCTATTACAAAATGTTATGTTTAATGGCTGCAAAAAATCTTATTGAATCTATTGAATCTTTGAATAATTTGGTAATCAGAGTGGTGTTTGGTCCCAATTACTTGGGAATTATTGGACTATGGCTTCATCTAGCCTGGAAAACCTAACTCTAAGTCAGCTTAGGATAAACCCTTAACTATCAGGATAACATCATCAGATTGTTAATAGCTGGATTTGATCCTGTATGACAATATTTTTTCTTAAACCATTAATCTACTGTTAAAATGTATTGGTAAATGGATGTTTTTTTTGCCTAAACCACTTACCCACTGCACAACATTTCAATAACATAACAATGTGTTTAGGTTTACATCAAGGACACAGTTGCATTGGTTGAGGCCAATAAGTCTATGCTACGGACACTGGAAGAGAAGTTTTTCTCTGTTCCGGATGGATCCCACAAGGTTCATCTAGGATCTCTAAAAGTCCCGGCTGGACTAAAAATGTGGCCGAGTAGCACAAGTGACTATTTGCGTCTCCAGATGGAAGAGTCGGAGGCTCTATACATTGAAAAACTGGTACACAATATTTAACATAAGTTTAAAGTTGCTGTTTTTAACATACAGTAGAGTCCCGCAAACTCAGGCACGCGATAACCTGGCAGTCTGGATAACTCGGCCATCACCTGGCTTAGAATATTAGTGATTTTTTGAGTCCGAGTTATACATGGACTCAAGCCAGCTCAAAATCACTCGAAACTCATACCAAGAATTTTTGCACTATATCTGATGACTTAATACTGGCTTGTAATATAAATAAAAAAGGCAGGTAAAAAGCTTAAAAAAATTGTATTATTTTTATTTTTTACCCTAGTTCCTGATAACCTGGCATTTCACAAACTCGGCACCCAGTCCACATTACGCAGAGTTTACTTGACTCTACTGTATAACTTTCAGTATATGTGTTACAGTATATTGACTATGTCTATTGCATGATTGTTGTTGTATGGAAATTATTTTTGACTTCTGCGATAGTGGCAAAATGTTGACCATCTCCTGCTGAAAAAGAAACATCATCATTCTCTAAGATTCTAATCATCTCTCGAGGTCCTGTGGACAGTGTCATTGTCTCTTGTGGTCAAGGCAAAATCTTGAATATCTTCTGCTGTAACAGAAACATCATCATCCTCTTCCGCAATCGCGGCAAGATTCTAATCATCTCTCGAGGTCCTGTGGACAGTGTCATTGTCTCTTGTGGTCAAGGCAAAATCTTGAATATCTCCTGCTGTAACAGAAACATCATCATCCTCTTCCGCAATCGCGGCAAGATTCTAGTCATCTCCCGGGGTCCTGTGAACAGTGTCATTGTCTTTTGTGGTCAAGGCAAAATCTTGAATATCTTCTGCTGTAACAGAAACATCATCATCCTCTTCCGCAATCGCGGCTAGATTCTAGTCATCTCCCGGGGTCCTGTGGGCAGTGTCATTGTCTCTTGTGGTCAAGGCAAAATCTTGAATATCTCCTGCTGTAACAGAAACATCATCATCCTCTTCCGCAATCGCGGCAAGATTCTAATCATCTCCTATGGTCCTGTGGACAGTGGCATTGTCTCTCGGGGTCAAGGCAAAATCTTGAATATCTCCTGCTCTAACAGAATCATCATTATTGTCTTCCCTGGTATGGGCAAAATCATGAACAACTCTTGCAGTAGTTAGGATTTTATTATTTTCTTTCTCATTTTAAGATACAATTTTGTAATTTATCTCAAAGCCATTTTGAAGAGCTTAAAAAATAAAAAAAATAAAAAAACTATATATATTGTAGTGATTTTTTACAGTTATTGGTTACGAACAAAATGTAAAAAATTGTAAATTTAAAATTCTCATGTTATTCTTATGGAGAATACTGGATATTGTTATAACTTGCTTGTTTATGGATATATTTTGATAAAACTTGTCAAATTTATTTATTCATACTAAGCTATTAATATTTTATTAAATAACCTCTTGATCAGAATTGTATGTGTTATTAATAAATTTACGGAAAGTATATAAAAGAAACTCTTATAACACTTAAAACATATATTTACGCTTATACTCTTACTCACAAGAAGACAGTAAATATACAAAAAAGATGGTATATTTACATATTAGAATGCTGGTTTGATGCGGGGTTTGGTGGGAGTATTTATTTTCTTATTTTCTTTGTTGAATCCCAACTTTACTGGGCCTTTACTTTTCTTTTATTTGTTTTATTTTTAGGAGATAAAAAAAATGTCCTCGTTCCTTCTCTTCTTTTATACAAAGTTCCCATTGGACCTATAATGTTGAAAATGAGAGCTTCTTATTACTTTTCAGGTCAAGCTTTGTTACTTTTCCATAAAACATATCTTTTTTTAATTCCAGGGAGATCGAGTGACCGACTCACTTCCTGTTCGTCTCTGGAGGAAAACCCAACGGCAAGGAGGAGCTCTTGAACCTGTGATTGATGTATGGTGCGATGTCAATGAATCTCTCGTCAATCTAGGCTTCGCTCTCTGGGACCGACCGACCAATGAGTTGTGAGTCCAGTTGTTAACAAGAGAAGAGAACACAATAAAACAGAAGTTTATATGTACAATCACACTTGTTGTTAAGCTAAGTTGCCAATCTTTACATCTTGATAATATATTTTAAAAGAAGACAAAATAGAACTAATTTTTTTTTTAAGCTAAATAGTAATTTTTTGTTTTTTATTATTATTTTTCTTAATGTTTTAGAATGCTCCACGATGATGGCAGTGACGATGATACTTCTTACGTCCAGTCATGGCTGGAAAACTCTTTTCAGGTATTATATTCAGAAACATACAGTGACCTAAGGTTTTACCTTTTTGGTACTTTTTTAATTTTTGGTATCGTCACAGAGCAGTATGGCACAGAGGAAACCATGTTATGGCAGGACCAAGGGCCTTCAGCTCCAGTATGTTGTGCCGGAAATATACTTGCAACAAGCAAGGAAGAACCCAAGTGTTCTCAGTAACTAGTGCTAGACCACTTAAGTCTTAGTGTAACATTGAATGTTTCCTCTGTACCTTACTTCTTGTTTGTCAATGACTTCATATTTATATAACAAAAGCCAATCTAAATGTCAATTAGCAACATGCTTTTTTAAACCACAATCAAAATTGTTCAAAGCTGTCTGTGGTTAATATTATTATCCCCAAATCAACATTACCATATGTAATTATCTACCTATTTTCCTCCACAAATTTCATCACTGTTAAAAACAAAGCTTGTTCTGTAAAATCAATTTAAATGTCTTCTTACTCATTTGGAAATGTGTTTTATTGGGTTAATATCAAAACTAGACTTGGTATACAATCCTTTCAAAAACCCACCTCATCTTATCATAGTAGTAATAATTGTAACTATTTCCAGTCTCAATAATTTTAGTGATCTTTTTTTCTGTTAATAATCTCAACATTACAATTTTGGACTTTAACTACCCAAAACCCAAATTGTAAAAGCATTTATGCTTACGAGCTTATAACTTAACCCTTTTAGTGCTACAGAGTCGCTGACAGCGACGATGTGTTTTTACATTAAACTGCGAGCGTCGCTGAGAGCGACTATTCATATTTCCTACAGTACACATGGTTGCAATGGACTTATTGCGTTTGCGCTGGTGTTTGTTTTGAATAAAGTTATTTCTAAAGTTATGTTTTTAAAGTTAGTATGTCTTGTGTTTCTAGTTATATATAGATAGTGTGTGGTTTTTATGGGATAAATAAATAGTATATTTCGTATCTAGGGCCGAAAATGAGGTTTTGCTGGCTTGACATAGCTTAACAGTTTGAGACGAAGTTGAGAACTTAAAACGATCTATAGCTGCAAAACTATTTCGGTCCGTCGTACAAACGCTATTTTTCACCACACTATATCCTATCACCACTATTCACCACAGTACAATAATAATGCATACTAACAGTCAACACGACTACAACTTTAAGGTAGTGTATAACTAATTTGAGGAATCAGCATAAATAATAATAAATAGTTAAATAAATAAATAGAGGCAGCGGTGACTATAAAACAAGTCTATTGCAATGCTATCAATACTGATAAGAAAATAAGTGAACAGCTGATTTTTGGCCCTAGGTATGTAAAAACCTACTCGGCCCCCAAATGACGATGACAGCTGGCATAGTTTTTGGCCTCCAATACACGTTTGTAAAACTACTTAAAACATCATAGTGTGGTGAAAAGTCGTTTAAGGGACAGATATCAAACATTGAATACTGATGCTTTGGTCTTTTGTGAAAATCTCATGACATTTGTTTTCTGTTTTAAAAACATTGTATGACGTGTAAAGGCATAAACCCTACTTCCGGAGGTAACCATATAATCACTGTTTAAAAAAATCCTCCAGTTTTGTTTTATTCAGATTTAAAAACTCTTTTCATTGCAAAAAATAAAGATTCCATTTATTTGTGAAAATAATGTTTATGGTGCACCTAAAATATAACAGACTAAGCATTTTCTTTAGCACATTTATTTATGTAAAATAAAATACAAAACAAATCAAATAACTTATATAAATAACCCCGCAGCAGCAAACCTGCCGACTAAGCGAATTTCTATTCGTCTGAATTGATTTAAATTAAATCTATTGAAAAAACATCAGGTTTAACGAGTACCTAGGTTTGCTGCTACAAGGAAACAATAAAAGTGTGTTTTTTTTTTGTAAAATAATAACTTTTTAGTATAAAATGAATAAATTTGCCAAGTTTGATCAAATTATACCCATAAACAAGCAAATTGCAACATTTTGCAATATTTTCCGTTAGAATAACATGGGAATTTAAAATTTGCAATTTTTTTAATTTTCACCATTGCCATTAGCCGTACAAAAACACTTTGATATACTATATAATTTGTTTATTTAAGCTCTTAAAAAATTCAAGAGAGAAATTGGGAAATTTTGTGTTTTGAGGGTCAAAATGAGAAAAACAAATTTTTACCCCATAAAACCCCATTCCCATGGTCCGTTCATGCTGGTTCGTGAGCTCATTCAAGTTTATCCCCCGTTGTCCTTTAAACCAAATTTCATCAAAATCGGACAAAAATTACTCAAGCGTTCACCGACACATATATAACTCTATATATATACATTAGCTCAGTTTAACCAATGAGTTTAACCATTTCTTTTCAGACACAGGCAAAGACTCAAAGGCAGCTTCATCCAAAAATACAGATATAAATAAGAAATATTTTAATTCAATCTTTCTACATCCAACTACCGAAAAAGAAATTTTAAATGTTATCAAAGGCTTAAAAAAACAAAAAGTCTTCAGGGGCTGATGAAATATCTCCATTTTTACTAAAAAAAGGTTGCATCGTATTTGGTAAAACCTCTATGCCATTTAATTAATATGTCATTCACCAGTGGATAATTTCCTGATGCGCTGAAGGTGTCAGTGGTCAGGCCTATATATCAAAAGGGAGATCCAAAGCTCTGCAACAGCTATAGGCCCATATCAGTTGTGTCTGTATTTTCAAAGATATTTGAAAAAATCATGGTGATTAGGCTATGGGACTTTTTGAAATTAAATAATATTATATCCGAAAACCAGCATGGATTTTTCTAAGGGTAAATCTACTACCTCAGCGATGTTTCAACTGATAAATGAGGTGGTTTGTGAATTAGATGCTGCAAACTACTCGGCTGGTTTGTTTTTTGACTTGAGCAAGGCGTTCGACACAGTGGACCATAACTTATTGCTCGATAGGATGAGTAATGTGGGCGTAAGAGGATCGGCCTTAGATTGGGTCAGGTCATTCCTTTGTGGCAGAAGGCAAAACATAGAAATAAGGGCAGTTGATGAGGCTGGGCGTGTTAGAGCCTACCCTTCTGCTGAGAATTCTGTTGCTAGGGGGGTACCGTCCTGGGACCAGTCCTTTTCCTTCTTTTTATTAACAACCTCTCTTCCTGCATAACCTCCTCAAAGTTATCCCTGTTCGCCGACGACACCTCTCTCTCAGTTTCTTGCTCCAAATTTCTAAATCTGGAACAAATTAGTTTTTTGGATGCAAACGCTATAATTCAATGGTTTGGCGACAGTTTATTGAAAATCAACACAGACAAAACACAGCTCATTAACTTCCGTTTATCAAATCATTCAAACCGATCAAACAGTGGGTTTAGTCTCCTTCTGGACGAAACTGAGGTCCACCCTACACCAAATGTCAAGTTCCTTGGATTGATCTTAGACGAGAATCTTAGATTTCATGACCATATCAAATACATTTAAAAAAACTCAGTTCTGGTATTTTCGTTCTGCGTAACCTCAGGAACAATGAGAATCTGGAGATATTGTTGACAGCATACTATGGGCTAATTTATCCTCACTTAGCATACGCCGTTCCTATTTGGGGTTGCGAGTGCCAGCAGACTAAAATGTTGTTTAAACACCAAAAAATGGCTGTGAGAACTGTTTTCTCTCTAAAAAGGCGTAAATTATGCCATAAATATTTTTTTAATTCAAAAATTTTGACATTCCCATCTATTTACATTCTTGAATCTTTAACATTTGTGAAACAAGAATTTTCTAAATTTGACTTTTCTGTAAAACACCAATACACATTGCGCAATTCACATACATTACCAATTCCTAAACATTCAACAACATTTTTCAAGAAGCATTTACTGTACAATGGCATAACACTTTTTAACTCACTTCCACTTCCTCTTAAACTTGAACCAAACCTGCTAAAATTTAAAAAGCAATTAAAATCTTTGTTGATAAAGTTTACCTGTTTGTTACAGTGTCCAAGAATTTGTAAATAAAATCAGCTCGATGAATAGTGATGTAGCTTAAATATGTATATAGAACTGTATAGCTTTTAGTACTGCATAAGACCTCTGTAAATAGTTGTAATGATGACTTAGCCAATACAAATTAAATTGTACAATATTTTGTTAATTCTGGCTTCATAAACGATTTGATTTGATATATAAACATTTTAAGGAATGGTGGTATTGGCGCCTGGCGGCATGAAAATGAAAAAGTAAATCGGTCCCGGGCCTAGGTCTTACCGTGCCACCTACGGTAATAACTACTTCCCTACAGAGAAATTTGCTAAAAAAGGGAGGTATGAGTTTTTTTTTAAGAGCTTGCTTATTTGGTCAAAATCCTCTAGCACTTTTCAGCTAGCGCTGTCAGCAACTTAGTAGCACTAAAAGGGTTAAATAAGCATAAATTCTTGTAAGTAAATTTTTGTATTTCATGTACCAGGGCATTAATGAAGAAGAACCTAAAGACAAAACTCAAGCTGTGGTAAGTTTTGTACGAGTTTCCCTTTTTTTCAAGCGATTTGAATGCAACCTTTATTTTAGTAAAAAATCTAATTTGCATTAGTCTCTTGGTAGTTACTGAAGTAGTTATGCGTTTGTGTGTGTGTGTGTGTGTGTTGTGTTTCCAAAGCATAAAATATACTTTTACACCTCGTTACTTCAAAAATAGTAAATGGAAGGGCATTTAGACATAGAAGAAAATAAGTAAGAAAGTAAGTTGAGTTTCCTTATGTTTGTTTCTTTTAAATCTTTTTCTTTTTATAGATTTTCTATGTTTACATTTTGATCCATGTATTAGTTTGGTTTCTACCAGGGGTGCCTAAAGGGGGGTACTGTGGTGCACTTGCGCCACAGGAATTTTTGGGGGGACTTTTTGAGGGGATTTTAGGGGGATATTTTTTTGCTAGCTGTCATAATGAATATATAATTTTTATAAGTAGACCGAAAAAGTGTTTCTAAGTAGCTCCCTATCAACACCAACAACATGACTCCAAGGTCACGGCATTATCGTCGGTATGACTTCGCAGTCACGGCGTCGCCTTCTGCGTTCGCAGAACTATTGTGAACATCTCTCGCGACAGCGGCAAAATGGCCGACGACCAGATAAAATCCCGTACCGAAAAATTCCCGGATCAAATGTAATCCTGTCCCGAAAATCGGGAATATTTTTTACAAAACCTCCACTTCTGGAGGTGTTGTCAGAATACGTTACAAAAATTTAACACAAAACACGAAACGATTACAGATAGGCCTATCAATTCACGCGTGTATATTGCCGTCGGCAGGACTGGAAGTAAAGTGAATCAGGTTGAGGTTCTGGATTGTCGTCTGCGTTTTCAACAGCTGATATTGGACTATTGTAGTGTCTGAGAAGAGGGTTTAAAATATAATGGGATTCATAATTAATTGAGTGTTTTCACTCAAAAATTTTGCGCTGTCCCTAGTTTTATGTATTTATATATCCTCAAAGTATTTAATAAATTTCCTTTCGCGCGGTACGGTAGAATTTCGAGACCATCATTTATATCCAGCATATGAATTGGTTATTATTGTCAAAAAATGTTAATGGAAAACTCAATTATGAATCCCATTATATTTTCAACACTCTCCTGCGTCACTACAGCTAGTCCAATATCAGCTTTTGATAACACAGACGACAATCCAGAGGCCACGTCTTTCCGTCATAACCTGATTCAGTTTACTGTACTACCATCAGTCCTGCCCGCGGCAATATACACACGTGAATTCATAGGCCTATCTGTTATCGTTTTGTGTATAAACAGATTGTCTGACAAGATGCGTTTCTACCATTATTAGTTATAAAAAGCAATCCTGGGGCTATCAAAATGAATTACTCCTTGAATTACTCCTGGGGGGGGGGATACTCCTTTGGCTTGGGGGGGGGGGGGGGATTGTGCCTCTGGGTTTGGGAGGGATGGGCACCTCTGGTTTCTACTTCACAGCAGATTACAAATTCATGAACCTAAGAGATACTATATTCATTAACAGCATTACAATTAGGCTTTGCCTCAATCAAAGCATGGTTAAAACAATTTCTTTGTTTCATCTGTACCATCCAGTTGCAACATGTTCACAAATAAAACCTGCATGTGTACAGTTAATTTTGTGTGATAATACAAAGCATTGCTTAGTTTAAAATAATCATGGAAATAGAATTAATTCAACAAATCTAAAACCCATATTATATGATGATTTCATTTTCTTATTTTTTTCTAGAATACGTATTTAATTAACTCCTAGAGTTGATGCAGTAGTTGTAGTTTGTTGGAGCATGTTTACTACTTTTATCTGAACTTAAACTATATGATTTGCTTACAGAAAAGTTTTAAAAATCTATAACTACAGTTATAAAAATGTTTATTAAAGAAGGCAGAATCTGTGATCGCGGCAAAATCAGGAACATTTCTAATGGTCTTCTTTGATCCCAGCTACATCTGGAACATCTCAGACAATCGTCCAGACCATTAGCTCCCGTTCATGGAAACATTTATATAGTTTTCCGTAATCGCAGCAAAATCTTCTGCCATCGCAATAATAAAAGCTCGGACCCATTCAGGTCCTATTTCCTATCAAATTCCCAGAATTTTGGTAAAAATCCAACTATCCAAATTGATTTAGACAATTGAATTTCTTCTGTTATTGTTTTTCTTGCTAATCCTGCTTGTGATTGCCCAGGTTCTGACGTAATTTATTGTCACCATGTTCTGTTTGCTTGCATGCATTTGATCAATATTGTAGAACATTGATTACGATTATCCAAGGTAATTGGGGGAGACCACAGATAACTAAATACCTCGGTTATTTTAATATGGTATGAAACTATGTAACAGGCTCAAATAAAACACCTTGATACCAATAAATAGACATCAATGTCTTATTTGGATTTCTACATAAACAAAATACAATAATGAACAATCATAAGTAATTAACCTTCAGTTACAAAAGTGGTTTGGTTTAAAATCACACTTTTCTCAAACTTAATGAAAAATTTGCTTATTTAATGCCTGCAATAAATGTTGGTTCAGAACAGAGACATGTCGATAATAATCATCATCTAGCAATGATGTTACCGTAGTTAAAAAGAAATCATATTGATGTAGAGATGTAAAATACCCAGGTATTTACCCGGGTCAATGCTTATTTTTATAAATACGTATTAAAATTAATTAATAATATTTATCTTTTAACCTCTTGATAACCATTCTGTACAACATGTCGTTATCATAACAATTTAAAAATTGGAACATTTAGTTTTGTTCAAAGAAAGGTTCCAAGCCATGATTTTTTTGGAGAATGAAGGGATAGCAGTACCTTACCACTGAAAATAGTGTTCAACAAATTAAAGTGAACAACAAATTAAAAATCACAGTATATTGATTAGTGTATAATTTCTTGCATATTTCTACATATACAAGTCAAGTCATGAGTGTAATATTATTTGCGTAGGTGGCAGCAGAAGCACCATACGTTTCAGAAGTTGAGAATGTAAGTTTTATTTTTAATGTTTTACTTTGAATGTTTTATTAATTTTAGTTTCTAGAGTTTGTTTTCAAATTGATTGGAAAAAAAGACAAAGGCCTATTTGATTCAATTTAATTCAAAACATCTTGATTCATTAGGGTACATAGTATACAGGGTGTACCGTAACTCTCTATAAACACATGTATATAGAGTTATTGCTTAGGTCAAGACAAGACAAACACATTTCACCATAGGAATATGGGTCTGTGGTGCTTAGTTTACCTTCTGTTTTTTACAAACAAACTTATAACTCCTAACGGTTTGAGATACAGCGTTAAGATTTCGCAAAAATGTTTTTCTTATTAAGACCTAATTTTTTGTTTAAAATTATACTGAAAAAGTATCAACCGTTTCAAAATGGCAGCCATTTAAAATATTTTATCCCAAACCACCGTGGCCGGGGGTATTTCATATTTTGTGATGGGCGTTTAACACAACTCCGTAAACACTTAAATAAGATGTTTATATTTTCAGGTTAATATTAAACCAAAGGAGATCTTCAAGCCACCTAGAGATTCTGTGAGGAGTACAAGGGCAAACCGTGGCCGTTGTTTGTCTCAAAGGGCCGCATACATTCCCGCCACAATTGGTCTTGGAGAAATAGCGTCCATAACCAAATGGACACCAGCGGTGCCTTTTAAGAAGCTCAGCTTTGTAGCCAAACCGACATACGTTGACTATGAATGTAATATCTATATACAGGACAGCGATTCAGGTAAGTCAACACAAGTTGGCGTGTATTATTGTTGTTGTTTATACTTGAGGGAATCCTTTTAAAAAGCAAGACTAAAACATTCATTACATTTATGGTTAATAGACATGACACTTGATACTTACTTGATACTTGGTTACTTTAAATTGGTTGACCCAAATTAGACCATTTTAAGCTTGTTGGCAAAATTTTATGGGCCTTTACTTATAAAAGGATTTATAAGTAATCAATTACTTTTGTCTGGCTGTGCCTAAAGTTTTATGTATCACAGCCCACCAGAATTATTTATTAGTGTTTAATATGTATTTTTCAGCTGTGGGATCTACTTTGGAGTTGCTGGAGAAGGCTTTTATTAGCCTTTATGACAAATCTGAAAAACGTCCTTATGATGAAGAGTATGCAGAAGGTCAGATCTGTATCGCTTATTATGAAGTAAGCAAAAAGTGGTACAGAGCGCAAGTAATAAAGGTGATTAACATTTCTTAAACAATTATTACAAATACAGTGACTAATAATATTTTCACTAGATTTTATGTGTTTTTTTTGTCTAGATTATTACTTAAAATGTTAAACTATGTTAGCACTGGCAGGACAAGTTGTAGTTACTGGTGAACTGTTGTAAAAGTTGTCATTCACCATTATTAGAGTTTTGTTGAACAACAGTGCAAGCACACGTTATATTCAATTGCTGGAGGTACGTAATTATATTGTTTTTACTAAAAACACTTTTGGAACAGTCTTTACTCAGGCAGCAACTTCTTCCTTTTTCAGAACTGGTCACCATATAACATGACTTTTGGACGACAAAAAGTGTTAAATCAATGTTATTTTAACTGTGACTCCATAGATGGTGTGACTGATTAAATTGACAATAATTTGATTTGAATTCATTGTTTAAAGGCAGGGAAGGAAGATGCCGAAGTGCTCTTTGTGGACTATGGGAATACAGAGACCTTGAACTATGACCAACTAAGAAAACAAGTGACCATGGGCCATATTCCCATACAATGCCATCGATGTAAAGTCGAAGGAATTTATCCGGTAAGTCATATTTCAAACTGGTGTATTCTTTCTGTTTTTGGTACTCAGTCTATTTTTGTTGTTTGAATCTCCAATGGACAGATGCATCTTCTCTCGATTTAGTTTAAGGTTTTTATCACCCTGTTGTCAGGCAAAAAGATTTACTACCATCATGAGTAGCATAATGTTTTGCCACATTGTAATAACTCTTCAAAAGCTTTTTCACCATGACACAGGAGGCTATGTAGCTGGTTTTGTACTCCATGTAAACCAGAAAGTAAGTATTAAAGTTTGGAAATGTTTTTTATCACATAAAATGGCCAGTGAAATCAGGTAGAGTCCGGTATATTTAGTAATCAGCCTTACAGGACACTTTTTTTTGAAAAGGCTTAGTATGAGTTCCTTTAGTAGTCTGATTAAACCTGGCCAGTAATTACTATTTAAACAGCTTTGGCCCCTGATACATGAAGGGTTGAGTGGATGAAGGGGGCAAGTAACAATTTTGTAAAAATTGAGTTAGATGCATGGATGAAGGGTGTAAGTGATGCTCAATTTAGTACACTGACTCCCATAGTCCTAAGTATAATAACAGCTGAGTTATTTTTTTAACTTAGGGGTTAAGTACAGGAAATTCACCCAAATGGAGTGTGTGTGGGTGGTCACTTGCCCCCTTCATCCACTTTAAGTTTCACTTACACCCTTCATCTATACTCTCAGTGAGCTTCACTTTGCCCCCTTCATCCATGTAAAGTTTCACTTACCCCCTTATTGTTAGGTAATAGTAGCGTACGTACTGCAGCTAACATCATATCCAAATCAGCTGACAATGAAAATTGCCTTGAACATTCCTATTTGCATTTTAGTTGTTTTAAAAATGTATCGGACCTACCTTAGTACGAGTTGTTAGCTATTCTTCATAGGTAACTGTGTTATAGGTGTTTTTCTTATCCTGTTTAATTGATGCTGGTAGTTAACCGTAAAAGTATCGTATGCGACTCAATCAAAAGACACATTTGTTTATCAGTGTAAGAAATAGTCACTCTAATGAACTGGTAAATTATTTAAAATATTTTTATCTGACAAACATTAGATATTTTTTCAAATGTACGACTATCTTAAAAACTACAACAACACAATTCATCAAAGTAACTGTTTTTTTCTTCAGTGCTGGTGTAACCGAAAAAAATAAAAATCAATAAAGAATAAAAAGTAAAACAGATTGCTGGTGATGGTGAAAGATTGAGATGAACCGTCAATCAATAATTTGAAGCTTTCTGACTGAAGTGACGCATTTACCAGCCAATAAGTCCAGGGCATTGTTGTACACTATTTTAAAAAGGAAGAATAGCTCTCAGCGATGTTTGCACTCTTGCTGAGTACGACACGGTCACTGTGAGCGTAGCCATAGCAAGAGTCTATCATCAGGTGAAACAAAATCATTTATAGTTCGGCCGCTTAGAAAACGACCTGCGCGCTAATGCTAAACCAATGCTGGAGGAGGTCGCCTTCTAAGCGGCCGAACTATATCAGGTCATCTATTCAATACCGCTAGGTCCTTCGTTGATATTGAGAACACAAACACACGATAAAAACACGAAATACAAATAAAATACTGTAAAAAACTGGCCAGGAGTCTCCCATGATTAACACTGGCCAGTTGTTTACATAATTATATTAATTTTTTCATGTTTGTGTTATGTGTTCTCAATATCAACGACGGATCTAGCAATATTGGATGGATGACCTGATTGAAGTTTTTGTTTCACCTGATAATAGACTCATACTGTTGTCCGAAATTATAGTAGTATACTACTGGTAAAAAGATCACTTGACAAAGCCAGGTAACATAAATCATTTTAATAAAAATATGTTTGGTTGAAAAACAAACCCCACAATAGGCTGGTTTATACCAATCATATCATAGAATAAATGTGTATATATTATTGTATATTGCCAACTGAATATGTATTACTTGTCATGTGGAATAATTAAGTGAATTTTCAATTATAGCTTAAAACTTGGTTCTGGAATTAAAAATTGAATTGATTTTTTAAGGTATCTCCTGACCACAAATGGCCAGTAAGGGTTTTGGATTTTATTCACGGTTCCATCGTTGAACAACACTGCGAAGTGAATCTGCAAGAACCGACAGATGATTGTGAAGATTACATTGTAAGTAATGGACCTATTTTTCCATAGGATGACAACCGAATTATTCCTTTGCATTGACATTAGTGAAGAATTATTTTACTATGTACTACTGTATTAGTATTGTCAGTTAGTAGTTTTAAACCCTTTTAGTGCCACAATTACTATTTTGTTTGTGATGCCTCAGTATTCATAGTAATTTTCTACAAATTCAAAAATTGCCAATAGTCTTTTACTGTTTTTGGAGAGTTTTGAAATGAACCATAAAAGATTTAAAGAAGTCTTAAATTTGGTCTTAAACTGACAGCTGGTAGGGCAAGTTTACATAACAGCCAGCCCAGGGCGAGATTGTTTGAGAGAATGAATATGACACTCCCTCATAGCTCCTTCAAAAAGTTGAGCTGCTGATCTTTGTAAGCACTGGCTTTGTAGGTACATCTCAGAACTGCTTCCCTCTGATTACCAAATCATAATACATCATAAAGAACAAGACACAATCATTTACAATAAAATCTTGAGTCACTGTTTAACCTTTTGTCTTTCATCTGGTTACTGCTTAATGTCAGCCTAAAATTTCATGCTGCTACTTAAAAAGTTAAAACATTGATTTTACTCTGCAAGTCTCATGTAGGGCCTACAATGCTTGGCCATTTTGTATTTCTACACTATTTGCTAGAAAACAGCAGTTGCTTCAAGGTAGAATCTGGACAAGGCCGAGCTTAAACATTACAAAGATAAATATAGAATCCATTCAATATTGATTTGATACTGAAATTTAACAAGATATTTATTACCAGGTTATGTTTTTAGGAAAAAGCATTTAGCTTGGATTAAATAAATATATAGGATGGAGAGGACACAGCTAACTCACCTGATAAAAGGTTGCAGACGAGTCAAACAACACATAAAACACACACATAATAATACTTGATATTTCAGAAGAAGGCCTAGATGGTAGAGAACAACAGTTTAAAATAGGATGACACAGTTTGAATTCAAAATGTCTTACAGGTTGTCCAACTGACACTACACAAAGCACTGGGTTGAGGATATAAGGATATTATCTAATTTTGAGGTTAGGTGGGGTTCTGGAGTTGGTCACAAACTGGTGAGCTAATTCCCATCTTCTGAGCATTGAACTATTGCATTGGTTCTTTGGCAATGATTTTAGAGCTTTTATGGTGAAACAGTCATCAAATAGAAGTTGGTGGGATAAGGCATGTTGTGCAACTGGTTTTTCTTTGCTAGTTTTAACATCATGTCGATGGCCGTTCACGCGTTTTCGGAGAGTCTCGGTTGTTTGGCCTATGTACTGGGCTGGACAATGTGAACATTGAAGCTGGTAGATAAGGTTTTCTGAGCTGCAGGTATGATGGCCTTGGATTCTGTAATTTTTATTATGGTGTGTGCTGGTAAAAGTTTCTGTAGGATGGTGTATCTGGCAAGATTTACATCGGTTTTCATTGCATGGGTATGAGTCCGGTCTTGGTTTCTCAGATGGTATTTTTGATGGATTTGGGAGTTTTGGGTGGACTAGCATATTCCTCAAATTTGGGGGTTGCCTATAGATTATGGAAGGGGCTCTTGAAAGGAGGTTTTTGGTTTGGCTGGAGGACTAGGATTTTGAAACCAGTTTTGAGGAGGTTGTTAAATTGTTGCAGGCCAGGGTGTTAAGTGGTTATCAAATTTACTTGAAGATGGTTGGTATTTTTCTTTGTAGTTGGACGTGGGTTCTGAGCTGCTTGGATCTGAGATTTTACGAGAGTACCAGGATAGCCTCAGTTTTCGAAGGCTTTTTGAAGTTGGGTTTGGTATTGTGTACGGACTTTCGGTTCTGAAATTAGGCGATTTCCCCTTAGGGCAAGACTGTAAGGAAGTGATCTCTTGATATTTTTCGGATGACAACTAGCTGAACTGTAATCCTAGTTACAGTTCAATTACCTCTATGAGAACCTCCGCCTACTGTGATCAGGGATCGTAAATTAAACATAAACTTGATTATTTTTTGTAAAAAAAAATGCTTACCAAATCTATTTAGCATAAATTGAATGTAGTTTTATATTTGTCAAATTTTGTTTCATGTCTAATCAATCTAGATAAATTTGTTGTGCTTGAGAAGAACTGTTTTGAATCGATTATAATTTGAACTGACTTATCTCTACTTACAGTTGATTGACCTAAAACTACCGTGTGGCCAAGACCTATGGGAAACACTCCTCAGTATGCACTATGCAACTTACTTTATTGATGCTGAAAAACTAGAAGACGATGAGGAGATCATCCAAGACCTGGAGATTCAGCGAGCACACACAAACAATAGTGATTCTAAAGTTTTGGCTGAGGAAATCATGAATGTCTGTTCGTCACTGAATAATATAGCCATTAAAACAGACAATCCACTCCTAAGTCAGGATCATATTAGTTTGCTGAGGGGACCAGAGGAAACTCCCAGCAGCTGGTACGAAGTTGTGGAGAGAGAAACTAATGTAAGTGTTTGAGCTTTACCAAGTAAGTGTTTCAGTACTAGTGCCAAACTCAAAGCAAGTAGCCTACTTGATACTACCTAAAAATAAAGGCCTAACCCAGTACTCTCTTATAAAATGTGTTTAAATCTGCTGGTGTCTACAACAGAATCTAGGAATGCTGATGTCGCGGGCTGGTAGGAGAGAGAACTAATGTCACTACTCTGTTGCTATCAGCTGATATAAAAGTGATCGCAAAATCAGCAGGCTCCTAGACATTAGCAGTTAAAAACAACGTTTTTATTGGCTCATGAAACTTCTGGGTCTTTATTTTGTGGTATTTATTTAAAAAATGTCTCCTAGTACGTTTAGGTATTTGGAGTCTATCCTACCTCAGCTTCAGGTGTGGTAGTACCTAGAAAATCACTATTGGAGTATTTTATCCATAGCTAGAAAACAAAGAGAATAAAACATGAATAAAATGTGTAATAGTCAATATAGGGATACAAATATAATTAATAAACAATCACAAATGCTACCATTGTCTGGTGTTGTCTTAGTTGTTTTGTATATTTACCTTGTGGCAGCAAATTTGATAAAAACTATTTTTTCATTCATTGTTTTTACTGCTTCATAGTGGTCAATCACATATTTGCTCAGCCAAGCTTGTTTATGTTGTTTTTTTTTAGTTATAGGACCTAGTGACAAATTGTTTTTAATAACTGTCACAAAATACTGGTATACTAGCTTCTTAATCGTCAAATGATACTCAACAACCAAAAAGTTTCATAAATTTAGATAAAAAGTTCAGATAAGTTTTTAGCAGTAAAGACTTGCTTATTATCATTGATTATTAAGCATTTCTGTGTAACTTATAATTTGCTTTGTAAGTAAACAGAATCTAGATTGTGAATATGTAATTATTTCTATATTTCTATTTCTATATTCTAGGAGGAAAGGCATATTCTTAGATACAAAGACTTGATCCTGCCAGACAGTATAGTAGAGGTTAATGTTCAAGTGCTTTGTGTTGTCGCTGCAAACTCCGTCAAAATAATGATTACAGAATGTGACGACCCTGAGGTAAGAGTCAGTCATTTATTTATAGTGATAAGATGCAATTTAAAATCTTTAAATGACTTTTGATGAAAGTAAAAATAGAAATTTGTTCAAATAGTGAGGAAATTGGCACATTTTTACACAAGAAGCTTGCCAAGTATATAATTTTTTATCGAGTAAAAAAACACTTTCTTCATTGCATATTTTATTTTATCTACAGTTTTTGAAATTTTGCAACTAAAAAATTATTGTACTCAACAAACATACAACATTGAGGTTAGGAATGTAATTTCTAACATCAAATTCGACAAATGAAAAATACTATCCATTTATAAAGGTACTTTAATGATTTTCCAAAATTAATCATTGCTTCCTTTTTAACATAAAACTTATTAATTTATAACATTTTTCATTTAAGAATTTAATTTAATCTACATACAGCCCAAGTTTTGTTTGTAATTAAATTAAAATAACCAAAAATAAGCTTAAAATTATTATTTTTTAATGTCATCTGGAGGAAAGGTGTGGACAAAGTAAAATGTTGAGAAATCATCTGTTTTGCTATTTAATTCTAGTGAGCAAAATGATACTTTGTGTGTTAAGGTTGACAAACATTATTGTTACCTGGTTATTACATACTCAGTAGCCTACAGTGCTGTAGCCTGTTCATGTTGTGACTGATACTCTATAAAGCAACATTTCTCTCCAGGTTATGGAATACATAACAAGATTCCAAAAAATGGAAGAACAAATTCAAGAGGAGGTTGACTTGTTGCCAATGGTGGCAGATCCAGTGAAGGGTAAGATTATCTGACGTGAATGTTTAGCCCTAGTTAAATCTGCTACACCTCTATCATGTAGATATTGACTTAATTCTTTAATTTCACCCATCTGAATTTTTCAAATCAATAGAGCAATGTGTCTATTGTCGGTCAGAGGTTAAATAGCCCAGAATCGCTTCTTTCATGCCTACCATGTATTTTCACTGATTACATAATTTTGTTTTCCCAGTTGTAGGTCACATAATATTAGGGATGGACGAGATTGGATTTTTAGTTCGAGACGAGACGAGACAAGATTTTTTATTTCTCATAAAATTTCGAGACGAGATCGAGACGAGATTTCCCTTCTCATACACAACGGGAAATGCACGTTCAAAACTTTTACCTGATTTTGTAACATTGTTAGATGACTGTTTAAATACAAAAATAATGATAATAGGCAAGAATATTTACAATCTTTTATTAAAAAACATCAGCATAACATTTTTTTATTAATCACGCCTAACTTATTAAAAATGCCTACGATTAGGAAACATAGTGATATCAGTTAGGATAGAGTTCAACTTATCCTAAAATAAAATAAATCATAAAATAAAAGCAATATTAATTTTTATAAAATAGTTACTTGTTTTGACTTGTTATAGTAATAAAAAATTCCTCACACTGCTTACACTTTACAAAACTTCTCAAATGTTATTAAAGTAATATTATTAAAATAATTAAAGTAATATTTACATTTAAAGAATTAATTAAATAAGAACGCCTTCACAAAGGAAACGCAACTACAACTCGCTCCTGTATTGCGGGTATTGCGTTGACTTTCTGCAGGCATTTTTAATTTTTTTTTTTTTTTTTTTTTTTTTTATTCCCGTCTCGGTAAAAATCTCGGCCAAAAAGAAATCTCGTCTCGTGTAACGAGATTTAAAATTTCCCGAAAATTTCCCGAAATTTCGAGACTTGACCATCCCTACATAATATTAGCAACTAAGATATTTCACTTTTTTTACCATTGATTATTTTAGCAAAGGCAGATTTTAGTCTTTTTATGCTGGTTACATGGACCATTAATTTCAAATTTTAACTGCAACAAAATGTATAAAGTTTCATGTGTTAATTTTTTCCTTCAACATTAAAACCACAATTAAATTAATTAATTAATCAAACAAATTAATTAATTCAAACAATTTAATTAATTAATTAATAATTAAATTATCACAATTTGTTTTTAGTTTTGTTACATTTTATATGTTATTTTATACTCATTTTATATGTACGATGGTTGTTTTTTTTCAACCTCCGATATGCTATGAACAAAAGACAAGTTCATATAAAACATTAAATTTACTACCAAAAGTTTGGTCTATTTATGGTTACTTTTTGACATAATCACCAAATAGATTGAGACATTTGCTATATCTGTGCACCAGCTTTTTAATACCCTCTTCAAGAAAAGTGGCCGCCAGTACATTCAAAAAACAAAAAAAATTCAAAAAACAAAAAAATGTCAAAAAATAAAAAATCAAGAAAAAATCAAAAAAGGACTTTAAAATTTCTAGAAATTCAGTAAACAAATCAACAATGGTGAATCTGTGGTTTATTTAACCATTCTGCCAACTTTTTGAACCAGCTCATTACTATCGTTTCAGATGACTTGGTTCAACAGTTTGACAGGATGGTTAAATAAACCACAGATTCACCATTATTGCTTTGTTTACTAAATTTCTATAAATTTTAAAGTCCTTTTTTTATTTTTTATAGATTTTTTTATTTTTTTGACGTTTTTTGTTTTTTGAATTTTTTTTGTTTTTTGAATGTACTGGCGGCCTCTTTTCTTGAGGAGGGTATTAAAAAGCTGGTGCACAGATATAGCAAATGTCTCAATCTCTTTGGTGATTATGTCAAAAAGTAACCATAAATGGACCAAACTTTTGGTAATAAATTTAATGTTATATATGAACTTGTCTTTTGTTCATAGCCTATCGGAGGTTGAAAAAAAAACAACCCTCGTATCTTGGTAACAATTAGAGTTACATACAGAAATCTTGTATGGATAAACCATTCATTTCTTCATTCATCCAACTCACAGTGTAAGCAATAGTCCACCGATTCATGTTTTCAAGATTTGTTTGAATAACTATTTAAAATATTAAGTTAAAACAGTCACCAGGATGTGAATGCCCTCAGTACTAAACCAGTCCTAATTATGTGCAACTTATTTGTTCATTATTTGTCATTATCTTTGCTTTCATCCCTTCCTACTTCCTACCCAGAACAGTTTAGTTATAGTGGTGTGCTAACTAATAATGATCTCTTCATTCCCCAGATATGGCGTGTCTCGGTTGTTTCACCAATGATGATGTTTGGTACAGAGCCATTATAAAGGAAGTGACACCTGACAACGAGTTTGTGAATGTTTACTACGTTGACTATGGCAATTCTGAATCGATTCCTACATCAAGGTAAGTAAACTTAAGTTATATTAAGATTGGAAATCGCATAAAATCAGATTGTTGTGAATGGTGCGCTGTAAAAGACTATAACTTAGTAGCTGTTAGAGGATTTCCCATATATGCCCCTAAAACACCATAGAGCCAAAAACACCATCTGTTCAAATTCATATTTGTGTGTGTGTGTGTGTGTCTGTGTTACCACAATCATTCAAGCAAAAAAGACCCGATTTGGATTATATTCAGTACAAACGCGTAAACCTATGTTTATTCAAACAAGTTTGTGAAGCAGCATGATCGGACATGGGAATGGGGTTTTATAGGGTGAAAAAATGGTTTTTCTCATTGTTGACTCATTAAACCAAATGTTATTGAAATAGATTTGATAAAAAATCAAATAAGAAAAATAGAAATTAGCTTAATACATATTTTTGTTTATAATTATTTTCATAAAAAGATATTTAGATAGAATTTTTCATAACTACAGATTTTGGCTGGTTTGCAACGTGATCCAATCAATTCCAATTTTTATGATTTATCTGTCATATCCTCTTAGTAAAAATTGGCAACAGCTGGTCCATATTGCTGTGATGTATACTTCAGTATACTAAAGCTATCCAGAAAGTAAAGAACGTTTCGTTATGGCTCCGCTTGGTGCGCGCCAATCTCGTACATTTTGGTGCGTGCACACTCGGCAACTTAAAACCGAAACTTCTCATCAAGTTTCACGTACTTTGTGGTTTGAAATTGTCGCACAACAAAGCAAAAGACCCGTTATCAGGAATCGGCGGTTTTTGCGAACTTTTCATCAACCTTAGCGACCAGTTCCATCAGTCACAATGCTCGGGCGTCCGCCCTTTGCTTCGTCATGACTCATGAGCGTCAGATCGGCCATTTTTAATCTGAATGCACCATTTTCTCAGAACTTTCAATCATTACTTTTTTTCCTTAAACTTCATACACTTGGCGATAAATGTCTATCGATTTTAAGTTAAATGCCAACACAAACCGTATCACTGACCGCACCTCTTAACTGGCAGTATTTTTAATCGTAGCGCTCATCTTAAGTTAAAATTGTGAAAAAACAGGCAGCACGAGAATGCTCCCGTTGTCACGGCTGGACACCGACTGAGTTGCCGAGTGGGCACGCACCAAAATGTACGAGATCGGTGCGCGCCTAGCGGCGTCATAACGAAACGTTCTTTACTTTCTGGATAGCCCTCGTACAATAGTCCATGATAATAGTAATCCTGTGACTGGTTGTCTTATTTCAGACTGAGAGATATAAAGGCGGAATGGACAGAAGTGCCCGTGCAGGCCATTCAAGTGAAGCTGCACAACGTAACAGAAGGGCCAAATTTTGAGAGGGAGCTTTGCAGTATCTCCCTCTCCAGCTGCTTTAAGTACCCACCCTACGTAATGGCCATTGAGGTGAATACAGTAGAAACCCCCATATAATCCTGTGTTGCATGAGTCAATGATGTGAAACCGCTTGTTTTTGTCATTAATTCTATTCGTTACATTTTTCAGTGTATTTTCATGATAACTTGTTCATTATTGTGGGAGAGATTCACTATGTTGTTGCTGTGTGTTGATGCAGCCAAAATTACGGATTGTAGTCATATTGACATTGTTATAAAGATTACGCAATTTTGTATTGCTGAAACAAAACTGCTGTTCTATTAAAACCTTATCAGGCCTTAACCCTAAATAGTTTTCATAAATTGTTTATGAAAAAGGTCATAAACAGTTTTAATTTGTTGCATGTTAACGAAAATCCTGCCATTCCCCTACTGGAAATCTGAATAAAAATTTGGCCCCGAATTAAAATTACAATCCCGCCATCTCTAGTTCTACAGAAAATTTTGTAAAAAAACAAATTCCACTTAATTAAAAAAGTAATATCTGTCGCATATCAATGTTAGTTTAACTAAACATTACATTTTATTAGCTTGCTACGTGCATGCTCAATATTCTGGTAACTAAAATATAATTTTTAAGTTAGGCTGGTTCTTTTGAAGCTCAATTGTATGTGATTAATAATTTGAATATCTTAGATTTTTGCTAAATAAAAAGTACATTAGCAGTGCATATTGAAATAATAGTTTTTTAATAGTAAATAAGTAGGGACATTACTCAATAGTTATATAGGATGGAGAGGACACAGCTAACTCACCTGATGAAAGGTTGCAGACGAGTCAAAGAACACATAAAACACACACATAATAATACTTGATATTTCGCCTCTTTCAGTAGTATTATTATGTGTGTGTTTTATGTGTTCTTTGACTCGTCTGCAACCTTTCATCAGCTGAGTTAGCTGTGTCCTCTTCATCCTATATATTTATTTAATCCAAGCTAAATGCTTTTTCCTAAAAACATTACCTCAATAGTACTATAGTAGAGGTCGTGCGGAACGAGGTGAAGCCTGAGATTTTCGGCGGGAACGGTCTAAAGCGGGGAAATCCATGGTGGGGGTAGGAGACGAGCCGATCGTCGCCTCGCATAGCGATCCTTCCCCCGCCACAACACTATACCCCTCCAAGCTTCACCTCGTTCCGTACGACCTCTAGTACTATCAATACCGGTAGTACTACTACCAATAGACTACTATCAATATTAACTAGTAGTGTATTATCAATATTAGTGAATGTAGGAATGGTAGTATATTTAATCCAACCTAAAAATGTGTGTTTTAGAAATACCGTATTGAATTACAAAGCTAGAACCCTTTAATTTGCCTTTTAGTGTATTTTTTCTATAAACCCTCCCCCCCCCCCCATAATCCCTTTGGGAGGTGCAAATTTCTTAGTTTAGCCATAGACTAACCAACACAGGTAGAAATTTTAAAGTTGTTAATCGTGTCTAGTTCATGGCCGTTGACACTGATTGCTAGTGTGTGGACTAAATTTTGTTTCGAGGTTTTATATTACTAAAATAACAAGAAACAAATTTTAAACCAAACAAGACCTCTACAGTTCACCCGACAGAACTAAAAATAAAATTGGCTTCAACTGTTTCATAAGGATTAGAAGGAATATATTTCATCTATGGTTTCGCCTTGCCTTGCTACAGCCCTGTCACTACCCTGCCCCACCATTTTGTTTTATGAATTTGAAAAATTTTCATCATTTTTTGTAGTTTTGTATACTTGTCATAAATGTTTGTGCAAAGTTTCAATTTTGTATCTTTAACCAGTTTAAAAAAAGTATAAGTGATAAAAAACAAAAAAAACAAAATGGCGGCTGTGCGTAACTAAGGACTTCCAGACAATTTAAATATGATATTTAGATATGTTTCTTACTCAGGAACAATTCCCAGAAATATTGGTAGAGAGTTCTCGGATACCTTGTATACAACATGTTTAGTTTCTCTAGCCCAAAAAGGTAATCCCTGTAAAAGATCTGATATTTCTAGGAAGGTTATGACCCATCCGTAAGTTTGCACACATCATCAACCAAACTGTTTTGATCTGTAAATGTATAATAAAAGTTAAATACCCCCGCCGCAGCAAACCTGCCGTCTAAGCGAATTTCCATTAGGCTGAATTGATTTTCAATCGATCTATTTAAATAACATTAGGTTTAACGAGTACCTAGGTTTGCTGCTACAAGGAAACTAATAAAGTGTGTGTTTTAAGTAAAATAATTATTGCTTAGTAGAAAATGAATATATTTGCCAAGTTTGATCAAAAGATATCCATAAACAAGCAAACTACAACATTTTACAATATTCTCCATAAGAATAACATGGGAATTTTAAATTTACCATTTTTTTAGTTTTCTCCGTAACCAATAACCGTACAAAAACACTTTGATATACTGAAATGTTTGTTTTTTTAAGCTCTTTAAGAAGGTTAAGAGAAAAATTGGGAAATTTTGTGTTTTGAGGGTCAAAAGTGACAAAAACCAATTTTTACCCCATAAAACCCCCCATAAAACCCTGTTCCCATGGTCCGATCATGCTGGATCGCGAACTCATTCAAGTTTATCCCGCCTTACACCTTCAAACCAAATTTCATCAAAATCGGATAAAAATTACTCAAGTTATCGTGTTCACGGACACATATATATATAAATCTATATATATATATATCTATATATATATATATATATACATATATAAAAATTTGAACGAATGGTGTTTTTGGCCTCTGGGGACATCAAAATGAAAAAGTAAATCGGTCCCGGGCCTAAGTCTTACCATGAGACCTACGGTAATAGCTACTTCCCTATAGGGAAATTCGCTAAAAGAGATTAACGTTCATACAGTAGTGTACACTAATTTGGAAAAGTCCTGATGTGTAAAAAGTTGTTTTTTTATGATCTGATGGTAAAAATCCAACTAACAACCTAAAATTCATCAATGTAATTCAGTACGTTGGTAGACACAGTTGTATACTCATGCCTAAAGTCGGGACCACGTAAGTTTGCAGATGGTGGCAGCCAATCAAAAGACAAGGCTAATGCGACGTTGCCACATTGTCCGTTGACAACACCTATTTAAATATACTAAGCAATATTTTCAAATCAGCTGGTATTATTAGATTTGGCAACACCGCACGGTTCTCATTGGTTCTCATTCAAAACCATATCCTCCCTCAACTGCAAACTTACGTGGTCCCAACTGTAATGCTTTGTTGATTGTTCAAAGTAGGTAACAATAACCTATAAAAAGTATAAAATCACCTGAGTACTGCCAGAGTGATCCTGTTAGTCCTTACGGATTACGCGTTTCAAGGAGCTTAAGTCCTCATCATCAGATCTTGTACAAGAAACACATCTATCACTTCGAAAAGGTCGTCAAAAGTTTAAATACACAACACGGACACATAATAAATAAACTTGTTTTACAATTACGGGTAGGCCTACCGACAAAAACTTGCAATGTCCGACCGCACAGTTGTAGGTTAAAGTCATGACTGCGATACGGGAGGTGGGCGGGCGGTGGACTTTGTACTTCTCGGCTCTTTGTTCATCAGCTGATCTTGGTTTGTTATTATAGTATCATACAGAGCGTTGGACTGGAAACTGATTTTGTCGTTTAATAATGTGTTAGGTTGGGTTTTGGTAGTTTTATAAATTTCGAACTCTTCTAAAGCGTCCATAACGTTGCCTTTATTGCAAAAATGTAGAGGGGTTAAATTTGTGTTAAAATCACTGTAGTTATGGTTTTCATTTACAAGATGAGCTGCAAAATTGGATTTGAGATGATTACTTGCTTTAGGCAGATATTCTTTAAATCTAGTTTGAAATGTCCTGCCTGTTTGCCCAATGTAAATTTTGTTGCAATCGTCACTTGATAACTTGTAGATACCAGTTCTGTCGGCTGTATTATTTACTCCATTTTTATCAGCACTGCTTAGTAGTTTTTGTAGTTTATTTGAGGTTTTAAAAGCGATATTGATGTTCTTTTTTCTTAATTTGTTTGCTAGAATGTTTGGTAACTTATTACCAAATTCTGATGTTACAAAAACTTTCCTTTCTTTTGGTTTATCTTCATTCCTATTGTTCTTTTTCTTTAATTGTTTTTTAATTATCTTGTCTATTATAACAGGGCCGTAACCATTTTTATGTGCAATGTATTTAATAGTGGTTTTCTCTTTATCAAAGTTTGCAGAGCTAAGTGGTAGGAGCCGATGAACGAAACTGTATATGCAGCCATTTTATGCTTAACGGGATGATGTGATGTTTCATGGATTGTAGTATCTGTTAAGGTTGGCTTCCTGTAAATATTGAACATGAAAAGTTTGTTACCTCGTATGACAGTTAAATCCAGGAAATTGAGTTTATTGTCCGTTTCTAGTTCTATTGTAAACTGAAGTTTAGGGTGAATGTTATTAATGTACTTATTAAACAGCTGGAGTTGTCTCGTATTGCCGTCAAAAAGTATTGCTATGATGGGTGAAAAAACATAATCTTATCTCTATAGCGGTTGTTATCTGCCCAGATATGTTTTTATTCAAAATCGTTGGGGTATATTTGAGCTAATATTCCTGATAAGGGTGACCCCAATGCTAGTCCATTTGTCTGTGTGTAAAATTCATTATTAAAGGTGAAATAGTTTTGTTGTAAAACAATTTTTGTTAATTTGATCAATTCACTGATAGCTTTTTCACTGAGGTCGAAGTTTTGTTTCAGATTGTTTTCTAATATTTAAATAGTTTCGGGTACTGGAACATTCGTGTATAAGTTAACTATATCGAGTGAAGCTAATGTATATCTACTTTTCAACTCAACTGTTTCAATTTTCTCAATAAAATCTGTACTATTTGTGAGACTATGGCTATTGTTCAGTTTCTCTTGTCCTTTTATGATTCGTTCTAGTTTTTTAGCAATGAGGTAACCTGGAGCCGACATGTAATTAACTAAAGGCCGAATGGGAACATAATTTTTATGAAGCTTCGGTAATCCTTTTAGTTGTGGAGCCTTAGCGTTGATTTGCTTTAAAGATCTAATTTCCTTATCTGTCAATAACTTGTTGCTTTGGTTTAAAACCTTATTCAGGGTTTTTGTAAAATTGGCTGTGGGATCCTTATTTATTTTCTCGAGTTGATTTTGGTTAATAAAGTTTGAAACTTTTAGGTTATAATCAGATTTGTTTAGGATTACAAGAGAATTACCTTTGTCAGCCTTAGTAACAATCAAATTATTTTCTTTTATTTTGTTTTGTATGGATTTTAAAATTCTCAGTTCATGTTTATGCATAATAGTTAGCTTCTTATTTTTGGAAGCTTTGTTCAGCCTAATTATTTTATTTTATTTCTCATTCACTAGAACTCTAACGGTGTTCTGAGTATTATTATCATGTATCATCTTGATAGCTGATTCAGTATGAATGATCTCTGATAATAAACTATTCTTACCATTGTACAGAGACAAAACAACTCAAAATATGAAACAATAACCTCATTAATAATAGGTATTCGCTTATTAATTTTGATTGAAATGTTGTGTTTGGAATATTATTTTTAACTGTTGGCCTTGATGTCACAGAAACGATTCCCATGCTTTGAAGTGGAACTCTACAACAGTGATGGGGAACCAGCATATAAACCTCTGCTAGACGGTGGGATATTGTCCAGGGAGTGAAGCCTTCAGTGCCTTCTAAAATGTTCATAGTTCCTTTGTTATTGGTTCACACTGCAGTTGCTAGTCATTTGAACTGCTCTTTGTATTTCCACTAATTTCCACTAAGACTGCAGTTTGAAATGTTTTACCAAACTTGTATCTGCATTATGAGTTTAAAATTTATTCCAAATGCTCATAAAGTAACGTTTGATATAAGTCTTGTTATTTAGCAGTAGTTTGTTTTTTACTTAGTATATTTTGTCATTTAATTAAGGATGCGTACCAAGGACTGAATATTTGACAAGTTTAAATGCTTCACCTAAAATGTATGTTTCTATCCCTATTATAACGGAGAAGACTTAAAATTTTAAAATTGGCTTCTGTGGTTGGATTAATTTGTTAAAGTCAATTGCATTCAACATCTTATCAATACTTTTTAAATCGTTATTTTAGGATTGGAAAACACATCTTGCCCAAGTATTTAATCAGTCCTTTACTTAATAATTTTTTGTTAACAACTTGAACAATTGATGTATTTGTTACACTTTCGATTTTTCATTTATGTATTTGGTTTATGTCAATACTGTTAATCTATTCTACTTTAATGAATAGTTCCATTTTGTTGTGTTACCTTAATGTATCTTGGTTAATTTACTTAAATTAAGAAAACACTATTTATATGTAAGTTAATAAATAAATTATTGTCATTATTAAACTGTTTTAAGATATTTTGTAATTCAGTGCAATAAACAAATTCTACTGGCATACGAGTTGTTTGATCATAAATTGGTCTGTTATTTATGATTATAGGCTAATATAAAAATCTTTCCTGCGCCTAAAGAACCTTTTTCATGACATTCCTTTTTTTATCGAGTTTGAAAATCTTACTCAATAGCCTACTGGTATTTTATTTTTGTGAAAACATGAATGTTTTTCATAACAAATAAAAAAAGAAAAAAGGGCATAGCTTCAGTTCCAGTTTGGTGTTGTTGCTACGCCAAGAAGGGTCCATTTTATAGCAGATTATTTAGCACAAGTGAAACCAGTTACATTCCAAATTGTTGATAATAGTTTTAAGCAATCTCCTTGTAACCTTTAACTTTAAGATTTCTTTTACAGTAAGCTACTGTAGGAAATAATTCAACGATAAACATATTTTGTGATAAAATGTTCTTGTTGGTAAATTTATTATTGAGACAGAATACAGTTTTGTATTTTGAAATATGTACAGCAAATGTTTTCTACGATTGGTTATTTGATATAAATAAAGATTTATAAAGATGTTGTGTATAATTTTAACCCTCATTTTGATACAGTCCAACCTCTTTAATCCAAACTAATTGGGACCGGGGGTAGTTCGGACTATTGAACAGTTCGGATTACAGAAAATATTGTTGTTTTTACATAACAATTGCTAGGGAAAAGTGAAAAATGCTTTATAAAGTAAAATACAGCATTTATTTAATACAGTAGTAAACATAGGGAATAAACAGTACGGTATCTATTGTAATCTTACAATAGAAACAATTACGGAGCGTATACCAATAAATACAGTATCCAATTAAGAACTACATGTCTGTGTATAGAGTACAGCATTGAGGTGTTCAGATTAGTGGATGTTTGGATTACAGGGGTTCAGATTAAAGAGGTTCTACTGTACATGAGTTAGACTAATTTAAATCATTAAAAAATACCTTTTCATCAACATAAAATGAAATGAAGAATTGTCTTTATTCATATGGCAAACAGTCGCATACATTGAATGGCGTCACTAGGCTTAAAACTTAATCAAACTAACCTACAATTCATCGAAACCATAAAGTGTTAACAAATGTTTAAATTTATTGTTCAAATTTGGAAATGTTATCAATATTCCTCACCTCAGCTACATTGGTTTAAAAACCTGTTCCCTGCACGGGTGGTTTTTTTGTTCACTGACAGCAATTTCATTTCTGCTCCGGGTGAAATAATTATGACTATTACCAAGTTTTGGGACCAAATTAGCATTAGATAGTTTTTTAGTGTGTAAAATTGTATGAAAAACATAAATACTACACACAGTCATAGTTCTCGTATTTGAAAAATATTGAAGATCAGAAGTCCCATTCTAAATAAGAATTCTATCCAAGTTTTGCTTTGAGGTACAGCCATAAATGGCATAAATACTTGTACTATATTGATCATTCGATAAAAGCAAAATAAAGAATCTTTAATGTTTTTACTGAGCAAAATTTTGACACTATTAATTAGGGATGTGTCGGTTCCACTTTTTTCGGTTTGGTTCTTACACTGGATCGGTTCTCGATTCCGAGTACTTATGCTTTCATTGATCGAAACGAAACTTGTAAGTGGCGGTACCTAAAAATATTGAATGTCAAGGAAATTAACAATTAATTGGTAATTGTAGATTGAACATTGAACTGAATAATGTAATAGGCTCAAACAATAGTAGATATAGAAATCAAATGAAACCTAGACTTAGGCCTATTTTTTTTTTGGGACAAGATTTAATGAAAAGTTATAAAAAAAATAATATAAGTATACTTTTTTTTAAGTTCAGAAATCTCATCTTGAAAATATCTCGTTAGTATTTCAATCCCGCAGCTTTGAGATTAAAAAAATCTCAAAGTTTGGGTCTTGTCCATCACTATTGCAGATATTTCTAAAATAATTGTGGAAATGAAAGCTTGGCTCGATACAATACTTAACTCATAAACACCACCATCTTTTTCATAGTGTAAACTTTATGGCAGACCCCTTCTTGAAATACACTGCCTACCCTTTAATTTTTCCTTCTCTGAAGATTTATGCTACAAAAGACAATAAATTAAATTGGGTAAATAATGAGTAGAAAAAATTAAAACCATACCAGAGGTTAATGAGACACATACAGACATGTTTTATTACTGTACTCATTTTTAGACTTCCCATAGATAAAACAAAACATTCAACGCTGAGTACTCTTTGCAATCTGCTCTTTCAACACCAGGATGCTCTGCCTCTGTTCAGGAGGTAACATTGCAATCTGGTCGTCTGACAACTGCAGTACTTGCATGATAAGTGCGGCCTGCAACACAGATTTAAATATCACATGGTGTTTACTCTCCGGGAAATTCGGCAAAACCGGGAAACCTTCAGGAATTTTATCTTACCTTGAAATATCCTGAAAAATTCCAAGAATTAACCCAAACCTCCGGAAATCTGGAGCCCAGTCATCGGAAACATCGGTTAACCTAAAGACTACCGCTGGTGTTGTCAGTTTTCATTTTTGTCTCTTTTTGTTTTGAAAATAATGAAATTAGTTTTACTAGTTAGTATTAAGTACTAAATTATGGTCTTTTAAAAACTGATTCAGACTTTTTAATTCTGATTTAGCAGACATTTCTAAATCAGTTAGGGATTTCCCAGTTGTGTTAAGATTAATATCATCTCCATATATACTTATCTTACTACCTGGGTCTTGTAGAGATTTGGAAGATTTTTAAGGTAACATATGAATAAAAGAGGACCAAGAATCGATCCCTGTGGGCCCGTGAGCAAATTTTGCATATATATTTTTTTGAAAGCAATACCCATTGCCGCAATCTCGAGAGACGATAACCGATGTCGCCGAAACCGAAAAATATGCTCACAGGAATTGCCGCGATCGTGGGAAACGATTATCGGTGTTGCCAAAACCGCAAAATGTACTCTTGGTGTTGGTGGGATCGCGGGAAACTATTGTCAGTGTCACTGAAATCGCAAAATATTCTCACGGGTAATGCGGCGATCGCAGGATACTATTAGCGATGTTGCCGGAGACGACAACTGGTGTCGCATTACTTTTTTAATATGTTGTATAAACTATTATTCCTTGGAAAGGTTTTTAAGGTTGTTTTTCCTAACTTACCTTACCAGTTATAAAAAAAAATAATACAATTTCTAACTCACTACTTATGAAGTACATATTTTAAATCCATTAGTTAAATGCATTATGTAATAAAAATGAGGATTTCTTTCAAAATCTTTAAAAGTTTTATTAAATATAAAATGGTGTAATAAAGCTCAAAGTACAGTTAGGGTTCCGATAGTTGTTCTTAAAATTCAGGAATTTGTCTTGAATTCTCCTAGAAAACTCCTTGAATTTTTCAAACCAGATTTACTCAACACCCTGTATCAACACTGTATACTCAGATAGAGCAAGAGTGCTCTGGTTCATTTTAAGGTAATCGATAATCTAGATGGGGTATAGTCCGAATAATTCTGGCTTATTGTCGTTCTACTGCACAATAAATTAGCTAATAATAACGGTTGTTCATGGAGAGTTGTTCATGTTTAATCCAAACTTCGGTAATCGGAAACCAAAAAATATTTTTTTTTAATTTTTTTATTTAACTTTTAACACAGGTTAGCTGTAACTTGTCAAAATATTCTGTAGTGGCCTGGCGAGATAGACTTTTTAGTAGAGTATTTTAGTAAATATTTCACCATTTTTGTTATTAACATTTTTCATTTACGTCCCGGGTTCCAATCCTCCCAAATTACAAATGGATTTTTCCTACAGTTACCTAACAATGTACATGTTCTCTCACTGATTTGAGAAAGCAAAGTGGCCAATTCGCTCATCAGTGAGACGATGTTAGCATTGTCTCACTCTAATTACTTTGTCTCACTCCAGATTTGCAACATGAAGGCACGAAATAGTGAGCGCGTAACATGCAGGCAACGTCGTATGCGCGCGAAGTACGTTGGCAGCACTGGCTGTAAATCAGCTGGTCAGCTGTTGTACTGTTGTATTTGTCACTTCAAATTAAATGTTATATTAAAAGTTCAATTCTGTGTAAAAATAGGTTATGTTTCTTCACCAATTTATTTGTTTTATGGTAACTGTAGGAAAAGTATAATGTGCAACTCGAGTTCAAAGTACAATTGCCTCACTTGAGAAACCATTCCTCACTCGCCTACGGCTCGCGAGTAAGGATTTCTCTCGAGTGAGTCAATTGCTCACTTTTCTCACTAGTTGCACAAATAACTATATAAAGTCATAATGCTGCAGCCACTATATCTAGCCTTAAGTAATGTGAAAAACAATCCCGGGCTCGTGCCTAGCGTCCTCCTAAGACAAAAAAAAAATTTCAAAATTTTAATTTAAATAATAATATACCGAAATATTTGGTAATCCGAAATGAGTCCGGGCCCAACCATTTCGGACTAACTGGACTCTACTGTATTATTTAATTATTTTATTTATGGACTGCAAACTACTTCATAAAAACATCAGTTTGGCAAACCTCTGTTGTTTGTTACATAAGAGGTTGTTACTGACCTTCTCCTGATCGGTGGCAGCTCCGCCGATGTTGGCTGCTAGAGGTCCACGGGGGCCGAGGTTGGGGGCAGACACTGGCTGTGGTACAGGTCCCGGGGGCATCACAGGGCGGGGTACACCTGGCGGCATACCTGGTGGGGGCATACCTGGCGGCGGCACATCTGCGACAATACTGACTTAGGATCCAGTTATATAGAAAACTGATACGGTAACCCCTCCCCTCCTTTCCCATAATTTGTCCACTGGGCTTCCCTACCTCCTAGCCAAGCAAGTCTTTGTTCTCATTGTAATTAGGCATTTAATTTATCTATCAGGTTGTTTTTCGGCTAGTATTGTCTTTCCCTCAATTTTGCAACACACTTACATTTTATTAACTTATTTTATAATCAAGTATATTTCCTAGAGAAATACTATCTTTCCATTATCAACCAGTTTTATTAAAATTATTTTTAAAATATAAATTTTCTTACTTGCTCGGGGATCTCTCTGGAAGCGTTCACCCATTCCTCCTCTGGGGTCTCGGGCAAAACTGCAACAAAACACATTTATTATTATAAAAACAAAATGATAACATTATACGTTGAATACTGATGGATAATGCTACGGATCAGATTAAGGGCAATTTGGTTGTTGTACAATTTAATTTTCTTTTATTCTGAAATGAAGGAAGCAATTGCAAATGAAAGCGACTGATGGAGTTAGGAAATAGCTTAGCTAGATATTAGGTCAAAAAATTATACTTATCACAGACATAAATACAGTAAACCTCCATTAACTTTTTAGCGACCAGGACAGTAGCAGATAATGAAAATTCACAATAATTGTGCGAGGTTTGGAATTTTACAGCAGTTGAGAAAAACTTTGCATACAAAAAATCAAACACTATAATTTCCATGTTTATAAACATTAGAGATTATTTTGGGCAAAGCTGTGTCTTAATGGAGAAATTACCAATAAAACAAAACTATTAAAATAACAAAAACGATTGATTAATAACACGAGTAGAGTGAACTTCAAAAACTTGACTAGGTAATAATATGAGGGTCGCATTTAAGTAAGGGTCGTTATTGTGTAGAGCTTCGTGGTTTGTGCGTACCCCGCAACGAGGCACCTTCCAGCTTACTGACATCATTTGTAAACAGAATGACACCATTTGCAGCTTTGTAGCTTACGTGTACACTTCACTGTGTTTGTTTTAAATTGTTTTGGCATTTTTTAATCTCCCGCCACGTGTAAGATTAGGTCAGTAATACGTTTTAGACCTCAAGAATTACCGCAGCGTGTTGTTAATGCGTGTTATTAATTTCTGTAAATTTAATAACACGTACAATGCTGATCAAGAAGTTACTCAAGAATTATATCTGGTGCTTACATTCATCAGCAGATGACTGTAGTTTATGAACCTAAAGCAATAATAAAGGGTGAAATACAGAAATGAATTAGGGAGTTTTGAAATGGCCATGAAAATGTACATTTCAGAAGGAATTTAGTTTTTGGTGGGTACCCGGGATTACTGACAGAAGACCACAAAAGAAAAAGGTTATCACGGCCATGTTTACACTCCTGACATATTTCTGCACTTTACCCTACCTCCATTGTATTAGGGCCATAGCCTTCAGTCTAGTATGTTTCTCGTCATAAAAAAAGTATCACTAAAATAATCTTGCACATGGCTGGAGGTTAACAAATTTAAAAACACAAAGTGAAATCAGCTGCAGGGGTGCACATGGTGTCATTCTATTCACAAATAATGCAAGTAGGCCTATGGAGCGAGAAGCCTCGTTGTGACATACACACAAACGACGGAACTATAGGCTAATACGGCCCTTACTTAAAAAACTACCATCGTATACTCACATCCCATCATAGAAAATAGACCTACCATACAAATTTCCTGTGTATGTATTAAGTAATTGGGGTGGCTAGTGAATTCACATTGAATAATTCCCTGACTTCTCCCTGGCAATTCCATGATTTTTTTAAACTTTCCCTGATCGACAAATTCAAAATTACAATTTTAATAGGCTACTAACTAATTCTTCAAAAGGACTAATCTTTTACTGAAGAATATCTTATGTTTGTTTATATGAAAAACATTCATAAAATCTATAGATAGGCTACAGGCTAGCTTATATTCAAACTTTGCAAGTTACCTTAGTAAAAATAAACAGATTTTGATAAGATGATGTACGCAGTTTATAACAAAATTTAATTTGTACAAAAACACAAAATTTATTTGTAGCCTACAGACATATTTCTTAGTTTTCACCCACATGGCACACATACTCTCACTAGATCGACCTTTCCTAACAATTATAAAATTATTTTAAACCTTTTACAATTTTTCTTGACTTATTACAAAGTTCCCTGACATTTCCAGGTTTTCCAGGTCACTAGCCACCCTGTTAATACTTAAAGGGATTGTCATTTGAAAGATTGGCAGTTAATTGAGGTTTTACTGGATTGGTGAAAAACTAAGGGTATTCTTTTTGTGAGTAGGAAAAAAAATCGCTACAATGAAATAACAGTTGGAAATCTAAAATTATCAAACAGCTGAAGAACTTTAAATGCTACGATGCTACACACTAAAGTTTACCTACTTGAAACTACCTACCTTTCAGGTGGGTTTTCCATAAGCAAACTAATAAAAATAAATGCATTTCAGATTCTGAGATATATTTATATTCAAACTAGGAATTGGTCAAGCAAGTCATCCTATACTTCTTCTTGGTAGTAAAACAGTGATAGTACATAAATACTATGAAACGATTGTTTTAAAAGCTGTAGAGAAACAGCTCAGAAATGGAGCAGTAAGCTTACAAACTGTAAAACACTAAGTACCTTATTTAATAAAAGAAAAGGTTTGTGCGTATCTCCTATTATCTAAAAAACAAAATAACGATTTGTTAAATAAGGGTCCCCAGTCAAACATGAAGATAAAATATAAGATTCGATTTCATTGTGATTGAGCAAGCAGTTAATCTTTAGGTCTCATAGCCACAATAGAAATAGATCACGATTTTAACGTCAAACCAAAATTTTCCAAGTTTTGAGAATTGACATTTCCTTGATCACATAAAAATCAAATGTTATGTGATATCAATTAAGGGTTCGAATCGGCCCACCCCTTTTTTAAGGTTTGGCTAAATTCACAGCTTATTCTAAATTTTCACGGTAGACAAAATTCACAAACGGTGTTCATGGTTGAGTGGGTAAAGTTAATATTTTATGTTATTTCTTGCATTTGGATTGAGATGAATAAAACGAAAGAAAGACACTCACTGGTCGGGTGGAGGTGGGGGAGGGTATTGCTGAGGAGGCATCCGCAAGTCTTGGTCTCCCATACTACGAGCCATACGCGGGTCCATGGCTCTCATATCCAGATCTCCAGATCCTGTACATACAAAATAACAGTAGCCTATCATTGATAGATCTCGCCTCAACTTGCTTGAGACAGGTTTAAAAATAAATAATGAACCTTGTTGTTTTTTTGTTTTTTTTCTAGGACGCTAGGCTCGAGCTTAGGATGATTTTTCACATTAGTTCAGGCTAGACCTAGGGGTTGCGGCATTATCACTTTGATAAAATCCAATTGTGATTTGGTGGGATTTAAACCCAGGACCTCTGGGACTGAAGTCCCACGCTCAACCACTAGACCAGCTCAATCCCCCTTATTGTTTCTACATTATTAATTTAATGTAAGATAAGCATGTATGCTTCTAAAATAATATCCGAATGAATAGGTACCGATCCCCTTTGTATATTTTAAAAAGTTGGATGGACAAATCTAGGCAAAAGGTAGCCTTCAATTATCTTGAATTAAAATAATATTGAATTTCCAGTTCTACAAGGTTGTACAACATATGAATTCTATAGGCTATGGATTTAAACAGGATAACTTAATTCTTGGCTGAAAAGCACCATTCTTACTAATGATAGGAGAAAACCAAATCTCAAAACCACCAATAGATAGGAAAAGTTCCGGTATTGAGATTCGATCAGTAGGTTTTGATATTCAAAAATGAGTATTAATTAAATTAGTTTTTAATCTCATATCCATGTTAATCATGTTACAACATATCTCAGTGTAAAAAAAAATATTTCAGTGTTTCTTGTTTTAAAAGAATGTTTTTTGTTGTTGTTTATAGTGTTGTTTTGTTTGATTTATCATTCATGTTATTATGTCAAGGTCAGGAGATATTACATTTTTCACATATTTATTAGGTATTTGGATTTTTTTAAATAGCCAAATCATGTAGGCCTACAGCAATTTCCCTTACCACCAAACTGTTGTGGAGGCATGGCAGGCATCTGAGGCACATGCGGTGGTATCTGCGGCGGCACCTGAGGTGGCAGTGGAGGTGGCGCAGCTGGAGGTGCCCAGTGTGTCTCAGGTGCCGGAGTGTACTCAGGTCGGGGCTGTGGCGCTGGGACTGGGGCAGGGCGGCCAGAATCTCCCGTCAATAGTGGCTGCATGTTTTTATTAGCCTTCTGGAGCATAGCCTGCCAAAACAAAAACAATCAGTATGTTATTTTGCAAAGATGTCTTTAGGCCTGATTTTAGAGATTTTATGACCGGTCGGCTTTATAAACGTTGATCAGCAGACTCAAACTATCGAGAGAGAGAGAGAAGAGTTCTACAAACACTTATCCTTAAAAGAACTTCCTTAGTTTCGTGACACAAATAAAATAGACTTAATTTTTTTAAACCTTAGTCTTCCAACATAGACTTAAGGTTAGTCTTATGCATGTATTATTCACAATTCATTTCAGCTGGCAGGAGGCCCAACCTAATTTCTTGGTTTTATTCCTCGAAACATTGCCTTCTGCTAAGTCAAGACTCACCACTGCAGCCTGTGGGTCCACAATCCTCATGACCACCTGAGCCTGGAGCAGAGCGTAAGCCAACTGTGGATTCTGGAGAAGCATCTGTCTCGCTTCTGTTGGGTTGTTCTGCAAACGTTCATAATGTACAAACCCTTAATTAACACTTCATTTTTGTACATATGCTTGAAAATACAATAGCTATGCAAGTTGTACTGTTCTATCTACGCTGAATCCAATTTTTTTATCACTTAAAATGCCGGTCCACAAGATGCTAAATATAGTCTAAATTAATTAGAGTAGACTGTATGAATGAATGAATGTTCGATGTTTATTACACATAATGTACCGAGTTTACAGGATGTATTTTCAGGTGCTTTTTCATGAATAAAATTGTCCTAAGAAGATAACTCATCTCTTTCCTCCTAGAAACATTAAAAATCATAATCAAAAAAATAGGCTATGTATATAAATACTAATAAATCCAACAGTAAAATATGACAAGAGGATAAAAAATAAGCTTACAACTATTTAACGTGGTCTTCTGTATGAATTGTCTTTATTATTTCATAATTATTTTAAATTTTCAGTTTAGTTGTACATATTTTTAGATATGATTAAATCGTGTGAACATCTCCCACGATTACAGAGACATCATCATCGTCACCCGCAATCGTGAAGGCTAGTGTGTTTTATTGCAAGATAATAAGGATAATTGTTATTCCAAAACATGAGTTAGTCCAAGAGCAATACTTTGCCTGTTGATTCTTTAAAACTTATGTTTCAACCAACTGTCAGAATTTTACCCCCCAGTAATTTTTTCTAGATCCTGGATCACCAAACAGAAAAGCACAACAAATACATATAATTAAGAAAGACCACAGTTTCCATTGTGACATAACTTATCTACCTGTACACACAGCTTCATCTGCCTCATGAGTTCAAACATCTGTTCTGGAGGCAGTGATGCTACAGCTTTACTGATGGCCTCAGGAGCTTTTTCGGGACTTACAGACTCTCCATACTGGTTCTCCACAACTGGTCCTTGCAGCAAACCTGATCAAACATTGTTTGTAGCTTATTAATTGTGAATCGATAAACTATATACGGTATACTAAAGGTAGCCCAGTGGCAGTTCAAAGGAGGCCCCCGCCATTGGACCTGTGATTATATTAATTTACACAAACATACATTTCGTCATAAAAACGTAACGGAGTTTTTTGACACAATTTTAGACGTTAAAAATGGTTTCAAAAGTCACCAAACTGCTTTAAAAATAGCAAATTTTTTGGGAGGACCCTCCTACAGATAAAAAAATTAAAATAAAATAAAAACAAAACAACACTTACTCTGCATTTCAAGACGAGATTTTTCAGTGCAAGCATTATCCACACGTAACATCCTTCCACCAATCTCATAACCGTTCAAGTTTCGCATAGCACTGAGGGCAGTCTCTTGATCCTTATACTCACAGAATCCATAACCTTTGGGCTTCCCTGTCTCTCTATCAAACACCAGCCTGTACAGAAAGATTACAAGTTAGAGGTCAACCACCAGTGAATATACCTTTTTCTTAACCAAACTAAAATACATCTTAGCATACAGCTATCGAATTTCCATTTAGCCTACCTGTATGGAATTCTACTAAAATATTTCCTTAAAATTGACAGATTTATTTCCTATTTAAATAGGCTAATAACATTAATTTTAATGAGGGTAATTATATCGACCTCCGGACCTCACGCGAAATTAAAAAATTTTTTTTTCAAAATGGTCGAAATTTCACGCTGATTTCAAAAATGATTGTCGTTTTTTGCGGAAACGTCCCGTTTTCCAAGAAAATGGGAAAAACGGGGAAATAATTGTTTTGCTCAAAACCCATGTTGTGGGTACTCAAATTGTGCGGGATTTCCTCCTTAACAAGAATATGTAATTTTTATTACGATCGGACCACTATTAAGTAAAATATCACCAGAAAAGTGGGCCATATTTAAATAACAAAGGTTAGGTCAGGTTACTTTAGGTTACTTTAGGTTAGGTTAGTTTAGGTTAGGTTAAGTTTGGTTAGGTTAGGTTAGGTTAAGTTAGGTTAGGTTAAGTTAGGTTAGGTTAAGTTAGGTTAGGTTAAGTTAGGTTAAGTTAGGTTAGGTAAGGTTAGAATAGGTTAAATTATCAATAACATGAGTATTGTAAATATGTAAACTAACCCAACCAAACCTAACCTAACTTAACCTAACCTAACCTAACCCAACCTAACCTTACCTAACAACTTAGGTTAGGTTACTTTAGGTTTGGTTAGGTAACTTTAGGTTAGGTTAGGTTACTTAACCTAACCTAACTTAACCTAACCTAACCTAACCTAACCTAACCTTACCTAACCTAACTTAACCTTACCTAAACTAACCAAACTTAACCTAACCTAACCTAACAACTTAGGTTAGGTTGGTTAGGTTAGGTTAGAATAGTTTATCAATAACATGAGTATTGTAACTATGTAAACTAACCCAACCAAACCTAACCTAACTTAACCTAACCTAACCTAACCTAACCTAACCTAACCTAACTTAACCTAACCTAACCTAACCAAACTTAACCTAACCTAAACTAACCTAACCTAACCTAAAGTAACCTAACCTAACCTAAAGTAACCTGACCTAACCTTTGTTATTTAAATATGGCCCACTTTTCTGGCGATATTTTACTTAATACTGGTCTGATCGTAATAAAAATTACATATTCTTGTTCAGGAGGAAATTCCGCACAATTTGAGTACCGTACCCACAACATGGGTTTTGAGCAAAAATAATTTTTTCCCGTTTTTCCCATTTTCCGGGAAAACGGGACGTTTCCGCAAAAAACGACAATCATTTTTTTAATCAGCGTGAAATTTCGACCATTTTGAAAAAAAAAATTTTTAATTTCGCGTGAGGTCTGGAGGTCGATATAATTACCTTAATGAGTACCTACTTGAGTTTGCTGCTACAGGGAGGGTAATAAAGTGTTTTTTTGTTTTTTTTTATGTTGATAGCTTAGTATAAAATAAACAAAATTGCCAGATTTGATTTAGGCCTATTTAAAATATCTACAAAACAAGCAAGCTACAAAGCTTACTTACTAGTTGCAGATGCATTGAACGTGTTAATAAGTAAAGGGAAAGAATTTCTCTAAAAACTAAGTAACTCTGCTATCCAGTAGCTTATAAATATTTTGTACAATAGACCTATGAACATGTGTCAAAGGAGGCTAACTTAAGTTATTTATGGACTTACTTGAATGAGAGAACTGGTCCAACTTCATTAAAAATATCTTTGAGTTTTTCCTCCGTAGCTTCATAAGGAATGTTTCCAACTGCAAATAAAAAAAAAATTAAAATAAAGTAGACCTAAGCTATAAAATAATATGCTAGGGTACCCAGATCTAAAATTACATTGATGTTTTACGGATGGGGAAGAAGACAGGGGTTCAGTTTCTTAACTGGGCTATGCTAGTTTTGATTGAAACTATCGGTTCGATTAGTACCTTCATACGATTTATTCATTATCAGCAAGTTTGGTTGGTAAGGTTAACCCTCCGAGTGTTAAGCATCGTGTAATCGACACACAACACACCCGCCGTGGTGTTATGCATCGCTTTTGCGACACACAAACATTGTTTACAGCGAAGGCTCTGGGACTGACTGAATCAGATTGAACTGGATCGAGAGTGGTATCGTTGTTTTCAGCAGATTCTAAGCTTTCTCCTGATGTCTGTTTCTAGACGCTTTTCATTTTAGTTCCGAAAATATTGTAGCAGACAGATGACGTGCGTATTTGTAAACAACTTGGTTAACCTCGCACCGATTATGACTGATGTGTTTTATTACGTTTTTCATTGTTTTAGTGTTAAAAATAAAATGTAGTGATAGCCTATGCGTGGTGCATTATAAGAGTATTTAAGTGATTTTGAAGGGCTGGTTGATGATCCTGAAGAAGTGGTTAGTGATATTGATGTAAAGCGTGGTGCATTATAAGAATATTTAAGTGATTTTGAAGGGCTGGTTGATGATCCTGAAGAAGTGGGTAGTGATATTGATGTAAATTATCCACCAGATTCCTATATGGTTAGGCTATGCATTCTTAGCTAACGCTAAATGTACAAAATCTTTTTTCACCCATACCTTATTTATTTACAAACCTACTCTTCCTTTTATTATTATATTTTTAGAATCCTCATAAAATTTAGAACAAAGTGGCTATTTTAAAATATTTGTAGACCTAACTTAAAATTATAAAAATTTATTGGGCGCAAACATAAAGTTTTTTAATTTATTTTATAATTTTTGAGAAATGTTAACCCCACAAAAATTGTAGAAAACTTTTTTTGTAATGTTTTATATATTACATTGAAGCCCATAATTTTCCAAACAAAACTAGGCCTATGTATATATCAGTATACTTTAGAGTGTTTTTCAGTTTCTAAAATACATTTTAATAAAACCCTGCGATTGCGCAATAAATGGGCAGGCATTAATGCCATTACTATGGACACTTGGAGGGTTAAGTTATGACAGTTTCATTTTATAATAAGTTAAGTTAATATATATTTAAAAATAAGTTATCGATTATCAATCAATATTTTCAATTCGATAGTTTCAATAGATAGCATATTAGCATAGCCCAGTTAAGAAACTGTACCCCTTGAGTTATCAACATAAGTCTATGATGTGATTTCCCGGGCTTGATTTAAAAAAATTCCAGGCACAGCCCAAGGACACCTCAGGCTAACACCTATTTAATATCTTAGGCATTAACCAAATATGGGATTTAAATCGTTAACAAAAATTATGTACTACTTCATAAAAACCAAGCCTTTTTAATTTCTGCCAGCCTGGATAGTTTGCACCTGGCAGTACGATAGACCTAGGCCTACCTACTTTGTTTGTATTTGTATCAGTTTGTTTAAAATTAATTTGTGTATATTAAAATTCTGACCCCATTAATCCCTTTTTGGGTAAAAGCTTAACACACGGTAGGCAGCAAATGTACATAGGGATAAACAAAAACTCAATGGAATAGGTAGGCAAAATTTACACGCAAGCCCTAAAATAAAATGCATACTAGGAGCCTATTGAAAAAAATAACTCTCCTAAAAAATATTGCTTAAGTTAAATATCAACTTAAATCCTATTATGAAATTAGAATAAGTTTAAACGAAAAGAATTGTAAAAGTTATGAGTTTGTAATATCTTAGCCGGTAAAACTATTATAGCTAAATTATTCTTTACCAAACACCGATCTCATAGACTTATCCAAGAGATTTTGGTCTCCCATGATGATTGATCTTGTTTGCTCGTATGAATAAAATTAATTAAAAACACTCTTTAGTGTGAACAATTTTATGTAAAAATATGATTAAAATGTTTTGGTTATGTTTGTTGACTATAGAAACATAGGTTTACGCCATTCGGCATTCCGCCATTCGGATTCGACATCGACATAGTGATGGGAGAATCGAATACAGAATCGAATAGTATTCGAATACAGCCCGAGTATTCGTAGATTCGAATACTTCAGATTCGTACGAATACTTTTTTGTGAATACTCTACTTGACCTCAGATTTTGCAGGATTTCTTGAATCTAGAAAGCGAATTCGGGGGATTCAAAAATGTATTCAACACTTTTTCAACTACTGAATTCCCTTTTGAATATCTTACGAATCCGTAGCATTCGTAAGAGTACCTATTTAATGTTTTTACTGCAGCATTTGTTTTCATCTATTCGTTATAATTTTACCATTAACCCTATAATTTACATATTAATCGTTAACATTTAGAATATATTGGATATTTAAAATATTAGGTTACTACTGGTAGAGGGCAATTGAATAGATTTTATTATAACTACAACCGATTTATGTAGTTACATGGCAAAATAACATGCATACCTATCTGATGTAAATTATCACAAATGAATAAGACATATTATTAAAGATATTAATTAGTTAATATAATAGAAAATAATACATTAATAAGACTGTAACTGACCATAAAATAATTATAAGTCAAAATAAATGTACCTTTTAAAAATCATATAATTTAAAAATTACATTGAATAAATTATATTAATGAATTAATTACTGTAAAACGAAATAACAGTGGCCAAAAGAACGGTTGCATTATGAAAAAAGAATTACACACACATTCATTTTCCATGCTTTGCATACTCAAAGGTGTTCGAATACAAGTATTCGTAAAAGTATTCGAATACAGGGGAGGCTACGAATTCACTGTATTCGATTCTTTAAAGTATTCGATTCTCCCATCACTACGATCGACATTCGGGATTCGGATTCGGCCAGTCGGCCAGTCTCTCTCGACTCTCGAATAAGAAGGCCAGTGTCAGCAACACCGACAGCGAAAATACAACATTTTGTAAAGAATACTATAAACATTGTATAGCTTAAACATTATGTTTTTTTTTCATGGTAACTCAACCCACATATTATTTTATGATGTATTTTAAGTCAATCACAAATGTAAGGTGAACGATAATAATTTGATGTATTAAGTAAGTGGTACTTTAATTTGGTAACTCTTTATTTGTTTACATCACTTAACCATAATGATTATTTGCTGATGGAATTTGGAAAAAATTTGGTTTATCAACCGTGAAACTACTAGCTTGTCTCTAAGGAAGGCAACAGTTGACTTGTAAGACAACTACAAAGGGAGTATGTTTTATCTATGGTATTACTATAACCGAACGCATATCTATGCTATAACATAAGCTATTCACGTACCTATATCATTGCAAGAGATTCGACCAAGAAAGAACAGATCTCTGTGGACAATGCAAGACAGCTCTAATACAAAATAGATCTTAGCTCAAAAAGCTTTACCCTCCCTTTTGTCGAAAATGCAATGCAACAGGAATATCTCTGAGTTATTGGGACACACTGTATGTTTTTACAGAGTCCAGCAAATTAAAGAGCAAGGAGAAACATCTATAATAAGCTGAGGAAAGAAGATTGGATAACTTCACCATCTTTAAAAAGATCTGCCACGACTGGAAATTAAACAAAAAAATTCTTGTGCTAAATTTCCAAATCAATTTATTCAAAGCCTATGTAAATCAATAATTGCCATGAGAAGTAACATACACTATGTACTAAAAAAATTATAAAATGTCAATCTATCTAATATACAAAAGTGACATTTAGTAGTACAGTGGAGTACAGTAATTTTAGGGTTTTGGGTAAAAATAATTCCACCTAATATATGTTTAAATAACATTAGTTTTTATCTTGTCCCTAGGACTGCTGCTGCTCGGCCACCTTTAACTCATGCTGCAGGGAGGATTATTAAATGTGATTTTTATCAAAATGTTAATAGCTTAGTATAAATAATAAATAAATTTGCAATGTTTTATTAAAAGATAGATATCCATACACAAGCAAGCTATCCTCATTTAGAAAATCCGTTGGTTTATAGGGATGTATCAAATCAAAGAAATAAATGGACCTTGAATTTACTTCACACAGATTATAAGCGAAGCAACAATTTTCTTTTAGTTCTCCATGCTGGAAATGTTTAATCGAATTGAAGGAAAGCGTTTTTCAATACAAGTAAATAAGTTAAAACCAACTGAGAGCAGAAAAGTAATATGTGTGATCCTTCACGACGCAATTAAGAAATATATTAAAAAATAATTTTTTTTTACAATTTTAATAATAACCCTCTAAATGTTAATATGGTCATTCTAATTTAAGCACAAAGCTTTCCTCGACGATATGTTTCAGTTTCATAATATGCGAATGCGACTCATTGAGACACACGGGTCATGGCCGCCTTTAACTCCAGGCCGTGGCCTTCGAAGTGTCAACGTCGCAAGTAGGGTTGTAACAGCTGTTTTGATTGGAAACCGCTATATTGGCATTTGTGTATTTACGAAAGCTTGGTTACTGGACTATGCAAATATTGACTCCGCTTTAAATATACAGATTTAGATTTTCAATTCATGTTGTTTTGGTTTTCAATTCTGTATGTTTTATATTCAATATTTTAATAAATTTATGTTCACACATATAAATTTTAATCAATAAAGTGCAAATTAATGAGCTGATGTCACCTGTCCGCAATATTATCTTATGGGACGTCTGGCACTAAACAACCCTACTTGCGACGTTGCCAATTCTACTAGGCCATGGCCGAGCACGGGTTCCCTAGTCACTATAAATGAAAAAAATAGTAATATTAAAAAATCTGGATATTTACTCAAGGGAGGTACAGAAGAGCCTTCGATGACGTCAGCTGTCAGATCTCGTCTTGAAGGAACACCATTTACCGCAACGATGCGGAGTATAGACATCGGCCTCGGTGGTGTAGTGGATAGCGTGTCGGACTGATAATCAGAAGGTGCCGGGATCGAATCCCGCTGGCAGCACTAACTTTTTGTCAACATTTTTTTTTATCAGCAAGTGTGGTTGGTTTGGTTAGGTTATGACAGTTTAATTTTATAATGAAAAAATTATAAAATTGAATTTTAGGTATTTATAATTTTATTTTATGAACAAAATTATTTTTTAGATTAGTATTCTTCATTAGATTTTTCATTATCAGCACGTTTGGTTAGTTTGTCTAGGTTATGACAGTTTAATTTAATAATCAAAAAATTTTAAGATTAATTTTATAATTTTTCTTAATTTTATAATTAACTAGGCTTAATAGTCAAGTAAAAATTACACGCTGTGCTCTCTACTACAACGCTGTTAACGGAAGAATTTTGAACTAAACTATGATGTCATCGTTGCCTCATTTGTACCTCCCTTGTCAGACCCAAAAATCTGTGTATAAAAGCTACATGACTACATCCAAGCCTGCTCTAAAACAAGACAGAAAATGGAACCTAGTATCTTCTTTTATTCACGGCTGTCGTATTCTTCTTCTTCGGCTTTTTAATTAAAATTTAAATGTAATAACCAAACCAAACCAACCAAACTTGCTGATAATAAAAAAATCTCGGGCAAAAAGTTATTGCTTCCTGCGGGATTCGAACCCGGGACCTACAGTATATCAGCCCGGCACGCTAACCATTAGACCACCGAGGCCGATGTCTAACGATCGTTTTGTTACGGTAATGGCGTTCCCTCAGCTAATAAGAAGCCCTCAGCTGTCATCGTAGCCTCTTCTATACCTCCCCTGAGTAAATACCCTTTTGGGTTCACCTCGCCTTCGCCGCGTTCGCATTCACATTCGTATTGTGTGATTGAGGTTATGTCTATGTTTTAGGGAGTTTGTTTTTGTTGATGGCGAAGTTAATTGATTAGGATAATTTTATTCTTGATTTGTGTTTTATATAAACAACATGGGGAAAAGGAAATCCAAAAAGGTATTTTTAGTTTTAATATGGATATGACTCGCATGCCAAGGGGTAACTTATGACATTAATCTTAGTTTAGGCATACGAGGACTTTTAACGGCTGCACTTTACTTTAGGTCCTACACTCATTGGAATTAAAATATCGATTATACGATTGTTTCATTCGATATATCGTTTGGTTAGTTAGGTTAGGTTGACCTTACCTAACTAACCAAACGATTTATCAAATTAAACAATCGATATGTCGATCGATATTTTCATTCAAATGAGTGTAGGACTTGTAAAGTGCAGCGCCCTTTTAACTGTTTTAATTTATATTACTACTTTAAAACAATATTGAATCACTACATTAAGTAGGTAAAGTTAACACACACACACACACTGTAAAGTAAGTAGCTACACATAGGCCTAACTTTCTAGGTTTAGATCTGCAAGGCTGACACTCACAGTATTTAAGGCCTATTTAAGGTGTTTCATTTATGCAATAAAAAATATGTTTGCGTGTGTTGTTTCATTCATCGCTTCAGTAAATAGCATTTACAGTAGACTCCCTCTTATCCGGACTCCTCAGGACCGAGGCCAGCTCGGATAACGGTGTTTCAGGTTAAACGGACATCCCCAAAAACTCTTTAAAATGGACCGTTCAAATGCATACTGTATACAGTATTTGACTTAAAGAGAGTACAGTAGAGTCCCGAAAACTCGGCATAATGTGGACCGGAAGAGTGCCAAGTTTTTGGAATGTCGGGTTATTGGGAACTAGGGTTAAAAGTAAGAACAATAAAATTTTTAATCCTTTTAGCTGCCTTATTTAGCCTATTTATATTTTTATTACAAGTCAGTATTAAGTCATCGATCAGATATTACAGTAAAATAAATCCTTGGTACGAGTTGCGAATGATTTTACTTGAGCCCATGTTTAACTGGTAACTTACTAAAAAATCACTAATTTTCTGAGCCCGGTGATGGCCAAGTTATCCAGACTGCTGGGTTATCGAGTGCCGAGTTTGCGGGACTCCACTGTATTGTATTTCTAAATACCTATACATCTAAAGACATGTGATCACTGGTCTCTAATCTTTCC